ATTGGGCCGCTTCCGAGGGCCTAGAGACGGCCGGAGGAGGTTGAGGTGGAGATAAATTTCATGATGAGTCGACAAGAGCTCATACACGCGCCAGAGTTTCGTCCGTCAAGGTGGTAAAGGCAATGCTCACGTAAATCCAGCGTATTTCCAGCTGTGGTGGAAGGACAGCGTAGCAGAAGCCGGAGCACTGTTCGCCCATGTGAGGTCGTGTATAGGTTTGATGGCTCGCAACGTCGGTACAGAGGAAATTTTGCAATGTCAGGCATGAAGCGGTACAACAGAACAGGGTTACTACTGAACGCCGGGGACGGCCGCTACTGCTGAGGTATCAGATGTGTCTCCAGAAGTCACTTTGCTCGAGCTCACCTCCTGATGACTGCCGCGTGACACGGTCGGTGGGTTGCACGTAGGCTTTGCTCACTCTTCGCCTCTTGGTTAGCGGTTGACCTTGGCAGATATTGTTCGCCGCAGAAGGATATGCCGCTTGGTGTACAGACGTGTCATTCCCGTCCTCTTTGTCGCTATCACCGTACCCATCCGCGCCCGACCCATCATCATCAGTGCCGGGCTCGAGACCGAACGTCTTCCGCAGAACAGAGGCCACGGCCTCCTTGGCCTTTGGGCCGCGGTTGGCTAGGCGTTCCAGCGACTGCGCATGTGGGGTTTTGCGAGCCGGTCTGCCCCTCTTCCCTGTACGTTCCTGTGGCAAAGTATATTGGCATTAACTTCGCTGACCGAACAAGATAGGTGATCACATACCACTGCCTTCCGTCCTGGCTTTACCTCAACCAACTTCCAGTCATACTGATTGTTCTTGAAGACGTTGAACGATGCAGGCCCTATGGTCGTTTTGAAACCAGCGGCGCGTACATCGTCAGGTACTCCCTGTGTGGTGTATGAACTACGAGGCCATGAACTTTACTCGATGGTGTGGACTTACCGGGATACTTGCCGCTCCTCGCCAATGTGAGGGGCGCCGAGCTTGAATGGCAGAGTACATGACGTCGCCGTCCTCATACCTGAAGACCGGCATCATCTTGTACTCCACTTCATCATCCGATAAGAGTTCGGCATCCGTGTATGCGTAAGGTGCGCCTAAATCAATCTATCAGCTCGACGAACACAAAATGTAGAAGACATAGGAGCAGATGATCACCAATGGTATGCGATGGATTGAAGAGGCCGTTCTTGACATACATATTGTACTGTTCTCTGGACATCTTAACAGAGCACTTGCGATATACCTTGAGAAATTGGTTGACGAAATTGATGTCGCTCTTGTAGTTGAAAGCAAATGCGGCTTCGCGGTTGGGCAGCGAAAGACAGCGAGTTCGATAGGTGGGCGAGACGTACTGAGATGCATCGACGGGCAGGATGTCCCTCAAGAGGCTGTATAGCTCGTCGTTGGAGCAGAACTCGAACAGAGGCATCCCAGGCCAGATCCCCAGACGGTGGAGTAGATCCATTGCAGTGTGGGCTCCATAGCCGTTGTAAACCTGCTGAGTGTGAAGTAACGCTTGTAGGATCGAGCGTGTCGAGCGTATTGTCTTGACTAGGAGTGCCAGGTCGCCCAGTGCGCCTTCATGCTCATCTTCATCGCTGTTCGAGTCCAGTGAGGCATCACCTTCCTCGTCCGGACCTGGCTCGCCCTGCTGCTGCTTGTCTGTGCCGTCGCAGCCTGCTGGCTCTTGGTGCTGTACACACCGTTAAATGCTGATCGTAAGGAGCTAAGGGTGACAATCCTTACCGGGGCTGCCGACAGAGTCTGAAGCACAATTTCCCGCCATTGATCGAGATTCTTCAACGCGTCGTCCGTCTCGTAGATCCAGTCAGGACCGTGGTTATGACTCCATAAGAAAGGCCAGTACTATAGTGCAGTTCAGCAAGTCCGAGAGATTGGGAGGATATCATTCACTCACCACAGACACCTTGTCCAAATCATCAGCGGTCCAATGGCTTGACCGACTCATCATGTGAAGACGTGTGAGGCGGTTATGATCGGTGATGAGAATGGTGTCTTCTTGGCCCACTACGGCCGCGAATACTGCGGCCGTTTGCATTGAACCCTTGGAGAGTTTGCGTGCGCCCGGCGTGGTGAGCTCCGGAGGGACAACGAAGCTGCGCATCTTGTTGGCTCGGTGTTTTGTTGTGCTGTTTCCAGGGGCGTCCTTCGAGATGAGTTCATGATATGCGGAGGTGGGAACTATGACGATAGTGCCTTCGAGTCCGAAATGTACGCGAACAGCGTGCTATCAGAGAGGTGAACATACTTATCTTTGAGGAAACTAAGTAAGTACTCACATATCCAGCTGCAAAGATGATCTCTTTCCCTCTCGTCTTGACAAAGAGCTCCCCGGGTTGCAATGGCTTGACGTAGCGGGCGTATTCCTCGTTTTTCGATCTGGCTACATCATGAGAGTTTGCCTGGTAGTTCTCCGGACATGGCTCGAGATTGTCGACGTAATCGAACAGGGAAGACGAAGTCTCCACTGTGCAGCTCTGGTAATCCTTTCCCTTTGTTCCCCCATCCTTCCGCCCATTAGCGCCGCGTGTTCCAAGAGCAAAGACTCGAGGAAAAATTTGCAATGAGGCTAGTACAAGGTAACCAATACGAGTCAGTCCGCGCCAAGGTGGCCCGCCCACTTGGAAAGTTGGCATAGAACAGACCTTTGAAAGGTGCTTTATGTTTCTGTGTCCACTGGCGTTGTAGCCGCTTCGTAATATACTCGAAGCCGTGCAGGATATCTAGCTCGGGCATGAAGGCGAGGTGTAGAGCCGGTGTAAGAAGTGTGGAAAGTGCATCGAGCGGACGCGTCGCGACGTGGCGTTGGCGCTTGTCGCGTACTGTCACAACGCCCGTAACGCAATATTCCGGCTATTCCCACGGAGACCTGCCCTACGGCGAGCGTAGTATCCGAGCCTCTCAATGGTCCCTTACAGTGTTCCCGCTCATCGCAGAAACCATCTGCGCCGTCCAATCCCGCAACCAAACCTCGCTCGCCCTACTCCCCCCGCGCATCGTCCGCCCCACCAAGTGCGCCTACATGCCCTGCAGCACCCCAGACAAGTTCGCAGACTCCGAGGAGCTCTTCCCCGCAATCGAGTGCAGGGATGGCGACACGCGGCCGTACAACACGGCCGAGTTCCGCACGCTCTACACCCAGCTCGCGCACACACCTCTGCGCTCATGGGGCCGTCGTAGGCGGTGTACTATCTACAGTGCGCGGAGTGGCTCATGCGCGTGAAGCGCGGCTGGCTCGGTGACTGCATGGACCGGTCAATAAATGGGTCGCGTGCCATGAAGAGCCGTCGCACTCACCGTTGGGGTGGTTGATCCACTGTTCCACGAAGATTGGGCCGATGCTGTTGACGACCACGAAGGTGTTCTTGTTGATGCTTGCGACCTGCTTGACGAGTGCGTCCTGCAAGAGGCGTATGTGAGTACGAGCAGTAGCCCTGGCAGAGGTGGTGAATACGCACCCCGTTGTGCCAGGCGCTGAGGTTGTTGTGATCGCCCGCCACATGCTCGACGGTGATGTATCCCTCCGAGTCGCTGTAAGTAAATTTAACAACAATGCCCCTCATCCAGCGCTCGACGTGAAAGCTTACCCGCTGTAGGTCGTGATGAAGACGAACACAACATCCTTGCCACCGGCAGTGTTCGCGGCGCTGGTCAGGTCTGTGTCAGTGAGCTAAGTTGTCACTGTCGTGCCGCCACTCTTCGCACGAGCGGTGATCGCGTCGATGGGCTGGTGGATGCTCGGTTAGTTTGGTGTGTTTCGTGGGAACGTCGTAGTACTTACCGCGACGAGGTAAGGGTAGTGGTGTCTTGCTGTAAGACTGCGTGGGCGACCTCGATATAGACGTCGACCAGACGATTCCGTAACACGATACGTGGTGTTCCTGGCGGCACGATGGGTGCGCGCATAAACTGGGTTAGTACGGATGTCTATGCTCTCTTGCTCGTCGTGTGCAACGTCGAAAGCGGCCGAGTTTGAGAGGTGATGTTCTGCGAGATGGGGACATCGAGTACACGAGCGCCAGACACCGAGTACTTACATGGAGTGCGGGTAGCCAGTTTGTCCTGAGGACGACGCGCTCACAGCCCCCTGCTTCTGCTCGCCTCGCGCCCCGAGTGTGCCCCGGGCACGCAGCTTCTCACTCGCACGACCTCAACGATATCTGCGGCCCGCTAGACGATCCTACATGCCTGTGAGTCCGTCCGATCGCGTAACCATGCACGCACAACTAACCTCCTTCCTATCCCCAGCGATGCGACGAGTCCAGGGTCGCGCAGAGCCCAGCTCTGCGACGCATACCGGCTCACAATCCTGCCGTATGCGAGAGCAAGCCGTTCGCGCACTTGCCTCGTAGCGAATGGCTTCGAGAGCGGCACGGATGGGCGGTAAGTCGTCCCAGCTAGTCAATGAATGAACAATCACTGACCATGTTTATCAGCACGGCGGGGCGGACAGTGGGACGGCACGCAGTAGTAGTACTCACCATGTATACTTCGCAGTGTAGTGCTGGCCTCCTGCGTAGTCTGCAGAAGGCCCAGAGGTAGGCCCGGCGTCACGAAGCGCGCGCGAAGGCGAGAACGTCCCATGCGGGCTGCAGCTCGTCGCAAGAGGTAATGTGCGCGCGTGCGTGGACGTCCGAGATCGCCAGGAAGCAGAGGCCTGTGCTCGCGCAGCAATCGCGTTCGAGATCGAGTCGCGGCCTCATACGTATCGGCACACACGTCAGACGCGACACCGCGGAAACGCGCCAGCGTCTTCGTCTTCGTCTCGTACACAGCTGGTAGGTCTCGCGAGAAGTACGGCACACCACACGGAGGAATCCACCGTCGACGCTGACTCAAGTTATCTGTGGGTGCTCAATTTGGTAAGCATGGTTCTGCTCATGAAGCAGGACGCGCGACTGACCGATTTCTTGCTCCAGGTCCACGCAGACTCGCGAACTCAGTGACACACACGCGGCGTCGTCGATTCCCGCACCCAGTCCGCCGATACGCGCGCACACGTGGCTCGCACCGCGTACGGAGTCGTAGACTCGCGCGAACAAGAGCTGGTCAAGCTAACAAGTGTACGAGAACTAATCACGAGCATCAGTAGCTGCTACGGAGAAGTGTAGTGTAGCTTAGTACTCACCATGTAACGTTCGTAACGTGGAATAGAAGTGGTTGTTCATTGAACATGTCTTGTTGAAAGACTGCGTGGTGGGCTTCGAGATAGACGTTGGTTTGGTGGTTTCGTAACGCGGTGTGCGGCGTTCATGGCGCTACATGGGTTCGCGCACGAGCTAGGCCAGTATGCCCGTCTATGCGCTCTTGCTGGTCGTGTGTGCAACGTCGAAAGCGGCCGAGCTCGAGGGGACATGTTCCATGAGATGGGGACATCGAGTACGCGAGGTACCCTTCTCCCTGCTCGCGCTTTCGCAGCCAAAGTCCGACGACCTCACGAAATGTACGGCACGCCGCGCACAAGTTGAACCCACCGTCGACACGGACACGAGCCAGCTGTACGACGCCCATAGTCAGTAGGGATTGTTCCACTCATTGTTTGGGATGTGCCACTGACCTATTTCTTGCTCTATGTCCGCGCGGACTCGCGAAATGAGTGACGCACATGCGGCGTCGACAATTCCCGCATCCAGTCCGCAGGCACGCGTGCACACGTGGCTCGCACGGCGCACGAAGATGTAGAATCGCGCGAACAGGAGGCCGTGTAGCTTGTCGAGCTACCAGCCATACGAGCACTAATCACGAGCATTAGTCGTTGTTACGGAGCCGTGTAGTGTAGATTCGTACCCACCATGTAGTCGTCGTAGCGTGAAATAGACATTGTGCATTATTGAACATGCCTTGCTGTAAGAATGTGTTGTCGACCTCGACTAGAGGTCGACTAAACGGTTCCCTAACACGGCGCGCGGTGTTCATGCGGTACAATGGGTACGCGCACGAGCCTCTAGGTTAGTATGGCCGTCTATGCTGCCTTGTGGGTGCACACGAAGTTGAAAGCGGCCGGGTTCGAGAGACCATGTTCCGCGAGATGGGGACATCGATTACACGAGCTTCGTCTCTCCCCGCTCGCGCTTTCGCGGCCAATCTGCGACTACTCGTGCACTGGAATCGATGGTGTACGTAGAGGGTGAGCACGCGAATCGCTGGGGAGCGGAAAACGCGGAAAAAAACACCTACACAGAGCGGGAGCACACCGAGGACGCGCACAGAGGGCGGCCAGGGATGGCGAAGGTCGACCGCGAGCAGCGAAGTCGACTCGAGCGGATCCAAGTTCAAGGACCAAGGTTGAAATTTGAAACGTTGAACGTTGAGCAAGATCTAGAGTCTGAGAGTGAAAGGCAGATCGCAGGTCGACAGCGCGCCCGCGCGGCGCGTGGGCGCCTGTGTGCAGCCAATGAGCGGCCGGCGAGTTTGGGGCCCGCCTGGCAGGCCGCTTCGATTCAGCCTCGCTCGCCCTCGACGCGCTGCGAGCGCGTCGTCATCGACGACGCCACACGTCTGCGAGCGTCAGGATGGGCAAGAATACAACACGATAATGTATACGCTCAGGAGCAAAATACACACGAAAAGTAGGTACGAAGCAACAATGGAACATCAATCACAGCGAAAGGACGTAGAAAAACAGATAAGGAGCCCCGCCCTGCACGTCGTTCACCTTTGTACCCTGCCTGCTCGCGCCGAGTCCCGTCTGCACCTGCACAACGGCGTTCGCGAGCCCGGGGTTGGGAGTCGCGCCGTGCTTCGCGAGCTCGCTCTTGACATTGTCGAGCAGCCGCCTCAGGTTGACGCGCTAGTTGACGAGAGCCATCCGCGCGCTCTCAAGACTCTTGCGCTCGTCCTCGAACAGCTCCTCGAGCTCCTCGAACTGTGCGGTCTTCAGCTCCAGCTTCGTAAGGGTAAGCTTGATGAGCGACGCGAGCGTCGAGCGGATCTGGAGGTCCTCCGCGTCGGCGAGCGCGCCGGCTGCCTTCGACGCGGACCTGAGCGCGAGGTCCGCCGTGCGGACAACCTTCGAGTGCGGGATCACCTTGACCGCGCGCCACTGCACCTGCGACTCGGCGTCGACCTGCATGTCGTCCTGCGCGGTCGCGGCCTCCTCCTTCTGGTCTTCTTCAGGCGCCACCTTCGTGTCCCCGTCCGTGAGCTGATGAAGAGCAGTCTTCGCGGCCTCCGCCGCGACCCCGGGGCTGATGACACCCGCGAGGAACACCATCACGCTCATGACGGGGTTGTCTGCTTGTTCGAGCGGCACGTGCGCATAACGAAGAGGGCCAAAGTCGCCCTCCGCGGAAACATAAGGATCCTCGATAGGCAGGTGGAGGAACTTGCGAATGCAGTGCTGCACGGAGCGAGTGCCAACATGCTCTTCGATGGCGGACTAGTCGTCGTCGTACATCTCAACGCCCTCGAGCAGGAGCAGGATCTCCTGGTCCGTTCAGTCGTCGTCCGCTGCGGGGCCTGCTGCCTGGTGTACACCGTTAGCACTGGTGGTGCTCGTGAGCTTGACAAAGTCGCCGCTGTACATGTGGGACGGGAAGCAGCCATCAAGGTAGCAGGGTGGGCAGAGCTCAAAGTTCTTCTGCTTAAGCGAGTGACACCTGGCAGAGGTGCAGTTGACGCCGCAGGTGTCGCACTGGTACTTGATGGTCGTGGGGTTGTCGCCGGAAATCCCATTCGCGCTATTTGCAAGGGACGCGGCCTCAGTGGAGGAGACAGGACTCGAAGACTTGGCTGAAGTCTGGTATATCGAGTTCCGGAGCTCGAGAGATGCGGGGGTAGGGGAGGGCTTCGTGGCGCCATTGACAGCTGCCTGAGCATTCGGATCCTTTGGCCGTGCCCCAGGGTGGAGAGACTGGAGACCACGGGGTGTGTCGAGGATGACGCAAAAGTGGCCGGTGAAAGGGGGTGCGAGGGCAGCAGGTCGCTGGTCTGGGTCGATCTGAGACGGCATGAGCAACGCAGGGGCCGCTGAGACGCGCATATATCCGTACCTGGTAGTTTATGAGATCCCATTGCTCGAGGAACGCGTGGACGCACATGATCGCGCACACGTCTCCTGCTAGGTTTCTGCGGCACGCGGTGACCGTCAAATACTCCAAAGCCTCGCTCACGCCCCGCCCTCGTAGCGTAGTCGGCACCGAGAGCTTCGGTCTGCCTCGGTGCGCCGCCGCGGACCAATGTCGAGTCGAGTGCGAGTGCAGATGCCGGGGAACGAGAGGGTTGAGGAGAGGGCAGCGAGATGGGGAGTGTGCCTGTGCCTGTGCGTGAGTGCGGGGACTGTTAGCAGACTTCTTCCTGAAGAAACAAAGCACTCATTAGAAGCCAACTTCCCACGTACGACCACGCGTTCTTCTGCATGGCGGCCGAGCTGTGCGAAGAGCGTGCAATAGAGGTGCACAGTGTCGTCTAATGTGGCGTGCTAGTGGTGTACGGAGAGGTATGCGTTGACGAGACGCGAGGTCAGGCGCACGTTCTCGAAGGCGGGGGGCATCGAGCCATCCTGGGATGCCAGGGATGATGCCGCGCTGCGAGCGGACGACGAGGTGTCCTTCAGGATACGTGCAAAGAGCAATTGAGTCTCTCCCAGTACTTCCGCTCTGACGATGTCTCTTGCCCACCGGACGATTTCGCAGCCTCTGAGGAGTTGCTAGGGGGACTGGTGCGCGTGGTAGCTGGGTTGTCGACCAAGACCGTGGTGGAGCGGTTGAACGCGGGTTTGTACGCCGCATACGCGTGAAAGACGTGGGTCATGATGCAGTCGTCGACCATGACCTGCTCTGGAAGGTCTCCTCTCGCCGCCTGCATGCTCTCCGAGATGATCTCTGCAAGGATCCAGCGCACCTTCGCCAGGTCGCCCGTCCGCTTCGCACCCTCCAACAGCGCCCCAAATGTCTTCTGGTCCGGACGGAAGGCAGGGTTGCCGTACGCGTCGCGGTGTCCATCCAGCATCTGCTTCGCGAGCCGGAACACCTCATTCACGTACGCTTTTTGCCCCGAGCGCGCGCACGCGGATATGACCACGGTGTATGCCTCCGCCATCGGCGGGATCCCTTTGTCGACCGTCATCTCCGTCCAGACTCGCGGGAAGAGCTGTAAGAACAACAGAGAAAGGCTGCACGAACTTTTTGTGGTCGGCCTGCACGTCGATGTGGGAACCCTGGCCGGTGTGCCAGGAGTTGAAGTTGACGGCGAGAAAGCCAGAGTCTTGGCCAAGGAGGCACCTACAATGTCAGTCTGGAGAGCGCAAGCACGTATGGGACAAGTGCCTGCAGAGTAATGGCAGCAGTAGGCGCCGTTTGAAGCGCCCATGACATATTTTGTGACATGCTGAATATCATTTATCGTTGGCGGCAGGTAGCCCTGAGCTCCCTAATTTGTATCGTAATAAGCTTAACAGGACCCTACGGTAGGGGTAAAACTATCAAAAATGGGGGCTTCCTGCTCAAATAAGTGAGATTCAGCAGTGTCACAAGTCACCGTAACAGGAGTGATTCTGTCACTAAGCGCGCAACATCACTCAGTGGCTACATACTCAAACCAACGAGTATGTCGAGTGGTGCTCATGGCGCTGAGTTTGAAGGCATCGAGAGCCACGGAGCAAGCGGGTACATCAGCTACTACTTTGCTGATTAAACTTGGTTGGGCCAACGTCTTTTTGGGAGACTTTGATAGCACACTGTGTATTAATTTGTACGACAGCCACTTGCACAGAACAGTACAGTTTATACTCTAGCATGTACATATTGTCGAATACATAGATAAGCATACATATGATCAGTTTCACGGGCGTTGCGCTTGGAGTGGCGAGCACGACACCGACGGCAATGAGCCTGAGGCTGCAGGTGCCGAGTACTACGCTCCTGTTCCGCTGCTCGAAGTCCCCAAGCAAGCCACACCTTCGACACCCTGTACATTAACTCGTCCTGCTCCGGGTGAGAAGCACATTTCGAGAGTGCAAGCATATAGAAGGGCAGTGTGCCCTCGTTGATTGGCTCCGTCTCGATGGTGTCTGTGAGCATCGAGCGGCCCTCGTGGAGGTGCATAAAAGCATGTTGGGTGAGTGTGAGCGTTTCCGCGTACTTCTTGAGCGGTGCGTAGTATCATGCGAGGTAGAAGCACCGACGCGCCTTGGTGAACGCGAACCGTGCCCCGACTGCGGACGCGAGGTCGGGGCTCTCGTCGACGATAGTGAGGGTGCGCATCTGCTCGAGCGACTGAAGGACACTGTCGAGGAGCTTGATGATCGGGGGTAGAGAAGCACGCCGATGTGCGCTTGCGGGATTTGCTGTGTCCGGCATGGGTCCGCTGTGCACAATGCAGTTCGTGCAGGAGCGTCGACGTGAGAAGCAGCCTGAGCAGGTCACGCTGGACGCGCTGAGAGAGGAGTTGGTAGACGACATGGGAGTGGTCAAACTGGATATCTCTGGTCGCGGCCACTGGTGGTGCACCACTCATCTGCTTGAGGAGTTAGTGGGCGACCCGATCAAATCATGCTGTGGGCACGAACCTTGTGAACCTCTACAAGCTTGCGCGATACATCCTTCGCTTCACTGAGAGCAAGCAAGATCGCGTCATACGAAGCGACCCCACCGCGCTTGGATCGCACGCCCCTGCTCTTCTCGCTAGCATCAGCCCCCTTCTCTTCCGCTTTCCTGGCTTGTGTCAGCTTTTCCTCAGCTTCTTGCACCTTCAGCAGCACGTCCACGAGCTCGGGGTTACGGATCGGCACTGGCTCGTCCTCCCAAAGCAGCTCCCTCAGCTTGCCCCTCTCCTCCACCGCGCCTCCACTGCACCTCCACTGAGCCTCCACTGTCCTTCCCAAGCCGAGCGAGCAATGCATTGCAGTCTTGCACGAGCCTGTTCCCGTGTCTAGGCGCGACAATCTCGATGTCGTATGCCTTCTCTCTCCAGAGCTCGCGCATGCAATGATGGATCTCGGGTCCAATTTCGTCAGCAAATGTGACAGCCAGGGCCTGCGCTCGGCTTGTGGCTGCTGCATCCGCGAGCGAGTCAAGCAGGTTCCGCACAACGCTCAGCTGCACGAGCGCGTCCTCAAACTCGAAACGCTGCCGCAGGAAGCGCCGTTGAGAATGAGGGTGTACACGGTAACCTGCGCGAGGTCCCCTGCAGAGAGCCGGCCCTGCCCTGAGAGCGCCTGGCAGTGCGAGAGGAGCTGTGTCGCCCAGTGGATCGCGCGGCGCATACGGCGCGTCGCGTGCTTGCGGTTCGCAGAGGACTTCTTCTGCGCATCTTCCGCAGGGGCGTAGATGCGGCGAGCTTGAGGGACTCTTGGTGCATCTCCTGGGAGTGCGACCGTGCGCGCTCGGCCTTGAAGAGGAGCAGCCGCAGGCTGCACTCGATCTCAAACTCTGGACTGCTCGGACATGTTGAACACGACTCACTGTCCATCCTCAATGGTGTCGAGGTTAATCGGTTTTTCAATGTGACGTACCTTGGAAATGGATGATCCACTTTGTAGACATCTGTGGGGCCCCGGATGCAGTGGAATATACGAGATCTGAGTAGAAGGTGCTAGTGTGCGATGAGAGTAGGAGGCAAGCAGTATATGCGGTTATCAGGTGCGGGGAACGTTGTTTCCCCTGGGCGTCGCGGCGCTACTGGGAAGTATGGTATATTACAACTCACAAACAAACAGTATGATATATACAAGGACATATGTACAGTAGAATATATGTGCAGGTATGGTACATGGATCCTAGGGTATATACATTTTGTAACTATAGACAACAACGAGAGCAGCGAACAACAGATGATGACGGCAATGGTCCATGACGGACAGCAATACAGTAGGAGTCAGGACAACAAGATAGCAAGATAGCGATGCAGCAAGACAGACAGACTCGACAAGAAGGTCCAGCGGGGAGGCGACCAGGATGTAGGTGACAGGGCGATCACCCACGGCCTACGTGCTTGCAGGAGCTAGACTCCCTGCCACCGCAATGTCTGTCAGCGACAAGACTAGCTGGTTCAATGGGTGGAGCACTGACCTGCACGTGTCCCCTTCCGACAGCAAGGAACTTGGATGAAAGCGAAGCGGAGCTCCGGTGGCGTTGAGAGGTAGAGAGTGACGAGGATACCGAGGCCCAAGCCTTCGACACAGTGGGTGGGCCGACCATTTGTAGAAGTGGGAATAGTCGCGTCAAAATGTCCGCAAACGTAGACGCGGAATGCTCCAAGACCAATACAGTGGAAGACAGATGCCGGAGAGGTGGGTGATGAGGAGAGGATCGGGCAGAGGCGCTCTCGCTACTGGCTAGAATAAGACATCCCGTCGTGGTGATGACGGGGAGATGGAGGACACGAAGGAACCGACAAGTGCGGCAGAGATAATAGACAGCGCTGAGAGATGGGATGGTGCTTGCGTCGCCACTTGTCGCATGGGAGATATGCAATTCCTGTAGGTTAGGCCATGCAGCTCCTATGCGTTGAAGATCGGACTCGAGGAGGGGGAATGCGACACCTCGAAAGTCGAGCACAACCATGCGCAACTCCTGTTGCCGGAGAAGGGCGTCCGCAAGTGGTAGCCATGATGTGGGACTCCACACCATCGGGTGTACTGCAGGATGAACACCCGACGACTCCCTCTCCGGCGCATTGCCGTCCGGGTGGGCAGCCTGCGGGTCGCCATCTGGGTGGGTGATCTGCAAGTCGCCGTCCAGGTGGGTAGGGAGGTTCACCGCACAAAACCAGCGAACGGTGAGACCAAAAAGCACCATGTGCTGCACAACAAAGTGCGCCGTCGCTAGAGAGTCGATGGAGGGATGGGCTGCGCTGTACAGCGCTGTTGTGGTGGCCTGTGTGACGGGGAGCCAAACAACCGCAGTGCCTCCTGGGACCGATGACCAACAGGACACAAACTTGTCGATATGCCCAGCGATCGAGCCGTCGCTTGCTGCGTAGCAAAGCTTCGGGGCTCCTAGCGCAGAACAGGGAATGAGCTTAAAGTTCTCATGCGCATGGGATCTGCTTACCCTGCCCGTGTGCCCTGTCGCTCCTGACCTCCCTAAGGTGTGTGATCATCGACTTTTGGATGTTTTCACAGATGTATGGCGAAGGTGTGCGTGCGCCTGTACCGCCTGTACATAGAATGTACGTGTCTTCCATAGGTGCCCTGACCTTTTGGGAGAGAAGACACAGAGCACCTTCCACCCAGTCCTCACAGGAAGTGATCACGTTGTGCATGACGACCTGCGCTACTCTGATGTTGGGCCTGCATAGGGTGTCGAAGGAAAGCGGGTCTCGGTAACCCGAGTGTGGGACGTAGATGTCGTTCCACGAGAGTTCGAGCAGTGCTGGGAAGAGCGGCGTGTTGGTTTTGGTAGCAGGAATGAGGGAGCCAATCAAGTGGAGAAAGTCGCTAGATGTCGAACATGCTGACGTACTGAGAGTCTGCACAAGAGAAGCGTAGTAGAGGAAATGATGGAAAGCCTGGTCCCTGACTGCGGTCCCGGAGTACTTGTCATGTAGATATCTAAGTTTTTCCCATGAGCCGGTTGTCTATAGTACAGGGAAAGGCACAAACCTTTTGATATCAGAGGGGCTCCAACCTCCCAAAGCCAACTTGTCGTCTTCATGCACAAGCACATGGAGAAGGCGGCGGAGATCGTGAAGGATCCGCCAAGATATCTTCGACGTCTCCATGAAGAATAGCTTGCTGGTGAGCATCAGAGCTAGGAGGTCCGAGTAGACTGGCCGGGGCAGGTAGAAGGTTGGAAAATCGCTGCGGGGAACAATATAGCTCAACACGCGCGCCCGCAGTTCGTCCACTATCAGGGTGCGGATTGTGGCCGTCTCCTCGGTGCCGGACACATGGGAAAGCCCTGTGTTTGCATTGAAGCCATATGAGATAGACATGTTGTGGCTCGAGGGTGTGGAGGCTAAAAAGCAGATGCAGTGGACGGCGGCGGCGGCGAGCGAACAGATGAACAATACGCGCAAAGCTTCTAGACGCCAATCCCCGATCGTGTCGCGCGCCAGACACCCTGATCATGTTACCGCGATTGTGTCGCGCCGCCATTATGTTGCACCGCCATTATGTCGTACGTGCAGTGCAAAACTTCAGCCACACCATGTTAAGTTCTGTTGATGTTAGTCTTCTAAGTAAAAGAATTGAAAAAATGTGCAGCACAAGGATTCGAACGTGTCTCCGCAGCCGTCAGGCATAGCCTTCTTTCAGCGCAATAACCACTACGTCAGCCACGCTCACAGGTGTGAGCGTATATGCATTCTATAACCAGACCTATGTAGTGCAGAAGCTGGCGAGGATCTTCACGCAGTGGTTCAACGTTGTCTCCGATGAGTTCCTATCCTCTCTATATGTACAATGGCTGACAGTTCTCTGCCTGTGCCTTTACAAAACATCTATGCCTCTTACGAGTGGCTGAGTGAGCATGTGGATAATGCCCTTCACACTCGGCTCGGAAATACGCACCAGTTGTCCGAAACCAGAAACCTGTGCTTGCGCCTTGCAGCCACAGTCGAGCAGGCAAGTTGTCAGCCTCTATCGCAGATGTATTGATTGCCTGACATATAGGGACCAGCACATGGATATAATCCCTCCAGCAGACTTGGAGACCATCCGGGGCAACCTACTCGCCATGCAAGATGCCCTACGTCTGGCCGAACAGCTCTGCAGCGACCCTGTCGACAGCGAGCCAGCTATTCCACTGGGAACCCATGACCCCAGTACTGGTGGGCGACCCGCAGTCCACATTTCCCCAGAAGATCTGGCTGCTCTCCGGTCAGGACGGACCACTCTTCGGCAAATTGCCGATATCTACCATTGTCATCCACGAACAATCCGTCGTAGGCTGCTCGAGTTTGGGCTGTCTGAGCCAGGGCCTCCGGTGTACACCGAAGAGGAACTTCCGGATGGAAGCCTCACTAGACACTATCGTGCTGGTGTCTCTAGTGCCCTGTCCCAGATTTCTGACCCGGATCTCGATGCGGTCATCTTTTCCATCCACGAGCAATTCCCTACCTTTGGGCGACGTATGATCGATGGATACCTGTTAGTGCTTGGTCATCGGGTCCCAAGGCGTCGCCTAGAAAATTCCTATGCTCGTGTCATCGGACCGTCCATCTCTGCATTTGGACCGCGCCGTATCGAACGCCGTGAATATTCGGTTCCAGGACCTAATTCGCTATGGCATCATGATGGGCAACATGGTAAGCATGGGTTTCAATTGTAGCCCTAAATCAATGCTTATCGTTGCGATTGCAGGGCTCATACGATGGAAGATCGTCATCCATGCGTTTGTCGATGGTTTCTCTCGGTTTGTTCTGGGAATCCTTGCCAGCAACAATAATCGTGCATCTACGGTCCTCCAGCTATTTGAAGACATAGCTGTTGAGTTCGGATACCCCAGTCGTGTAAGGGGTGATCACGGCTCGGAGAACGTCCTTGTTGCAGCACAGATGGAGGAGATCCGAGGTGCAGGACGTGGTTCCTACATCTGGGGCCGGTGAGTTCCATTAAATGTTTTGATACGCAGATGTGCCCTAAATCGGCTTCGCTCTGGCTAAATAGGAGTGTACATAACATTCGCATCGAACGACTGTGGGTAGACGTCACCGCAGGCTTTGGCAACAAATGGAAAGAGCTTTTCCGCTTACTGGAGGCCTTGCATGGTCTCGACGTGGACAACGATGCGCATATATGGCTTTTACAACATCTATTCCTGGTGGCTATCAATGCGGACGCGTCAAACTGGGCCGCGACATGGAATCAACACGCTGTTTCACGGCGTGGAGAACGACACATGTCCCCCATGCAAATGTATATCCACGGGCTAGCTGACCATGGTCAACGCGGCATCTTCCCCGAACGCCTGGACACCATGCCCAGTGGCTCCCCTGCTGTAGACTATGCTGACTATGGTATCGACTGGGATGCGCTTGATCGTCCAGTCATACGCACACACCATAACCAGCACAACCCGCATGATGGAACAAATCCCTTCCTGATCGACAACCCCTCTGGTCTCTCACATGTGGAGGTTCCGGATCCTCGCTGCCCTTTCTCGCCTGAGCAGGTTGCTCTGTTGGACACCCATCTTCGACACCTCCCCTGCTTCGGTAGGGAAAACATGCAGGCATGTGCAGAGCTCTGGATTGCTGCTTTACAGATAGCTCAAAACATCGTGTAGTCTGTATATGTAACGTATAATACGGTGCTCCTAATTTTGTTCTGAGAAGCTTGACCTGAGATTGTAGTTTATAGCGACTTTGTCATCTTCGAGTATGTTGCAATATCGGTTGCAGCCCACGTCTTGACCCTGCTCTGAATACCGGCTCATTTTGTGCTCCCTAGAATGGGTTATATTGATATGCTGGTACTATCGGTACTGGTCAGGCAGGAGGCCGGTGAACAGACGATGATCCTGCAGGAGTCAGGGCTGCAATGTACTGGAATACCTATTTTAGCACTATATTTGAGCTTGAAGTGTTACTCCGAAGAGACACTTGAGCTAGAAAATCCAAAGACAGATATGAAGTTTCATATCGGCGTTGGAGTGAAAGTACGAAGCTGAAGGAGGTGCATTGATTCGGAGCCGAGAGGCGCCGAATCGGAGCCCCGTTCCGAAATCGAAGTACGAACCCGAAGTCATCACCCAAAATGGAACTCCGAACCCCAACGGTTGTCCCGAAGTGGAAACAACGGTGTGGACTACTTGTGTGAACTCGAAATCACTGCGTGGACTGCTTATTTGAACTCCAAATAACTTTTGTCCGCGGGTGCCCCTGATATCGTCAGCACTACTGCGGCCCGCGAGAGCGTGTGTCGACTTGATTATTCCATGGACATACTCCCAGCTTCTGATCGTGGTGCACCAACTTCGGCCGCGTCGGAAGGGCATAGGCACATTTCTACATCAAGTGGAGGGCCTATGCAGGGCGGTCAAGAGGGCATACGGGGCCTTCCTCCCGAGCTGCTGGCGCATATCTTCACCTACGTAGCTCTTCCTCCGAACGCCGCCCTCATTGCGGTCACTCACGTCTGCCGAAACTTTCGCGCGGTTGCCCTTGATCATGCAATACTCTGGTCGAGAATCCAAGTCCATACCATACCCCAGATGGAGGCCTTTCTTGCTCGCTCAAAATTCTCTCTCCTCGACATCACTGTCCCGTCCCCATCATCCTGGTCCCCTAGACTCAACGACAGTCTCTCTATGCTTCTATCTCGTGTAACGGATCGCCTTCGATCATTCGAGATTGATGTTGGCCTCTGTGACGCCGCCGCTGTTGCCAGAATCATAGCGAATTTCGTCGGCCGCCCGGCCCCGCACCTACAGAAGCTATACGTGCTCGATAGGGGGTACACGAAACTGACCCGTGGGGTACTACCCAAGGACAAACAGGAATTGAACATCTTCCATATCCTCGATGGCGATGGATATCGCTCTGCTACTCCCTCCCTGCGATCATTGCGTCTCGCACCGATCTGGGTTCCGTGCAACAGCGGAATGTTCAGAGGCCTTTCCCATCTCGAGCTGAGAAACATGAAGTGGCGTGTCCCCAGCCCGACCCAGATACAGCTCCTAGGGATTCTCAGGGCATGCCCTACACTAGAAACCCTGACGCTCGAGCTCACCCGCATCGAAGACGACGGTCCCCGGGAGGAGACGGAGTCGATTATCCCCTTGCCCCTGCTATCCAAGCTAATCATGATTCATCACTCCCCGTCCAACTTTGCGAACTTGCTCTCTTACCTTGCGCTTCCTCCGACCACACGATTCGAGCTCGACACATGGCTAGCACACCGACTGCAGGGCTCCAGCTTCTGTGATTGCGCCATCTTCCCTGACAGATGTGAACACCTTCCGATGCTGAGGGCGCTCCCCGGTGTTGAGCTCACTGTCAATTTGGTCTATTCAAGGGCGCGTTTTGACCTCTTCTCGTCGACCACCTGCAACGAAGCTCATCACGTTGCGGCAATTTTCGTCCGGGCGGACACGCTGTATTCTATAGGGTTTTGTATACAAGCCACAATGGTAGCAACCGCCGAACAGTTCACGTACCGAGGGGACTGGCACCAGAGGAGCTTCGGCGAGACCTACCGCTGGAACAACACTTTCCAGGTCGCGGCCCGCCTTCGGACCCTCCGCCTTGTCAATCCGCTGGAGGAAGAACTGGTAGATGCCCTTGCAGCGCTGTCGTCGTGCGCCCGTGAGCGCACTACGCTGGTGTGCCCGCAGTTGACCGACCTCGAGCTTTACCGGATTCCCATCTCGTTGCAGACGCAAGCATCAATCCTGGACTTTGTGGCTTGTCGGGCGGAGGCAGGCGTACCGATAACGAGGATAGTGTTCGGACGCACTTCAGTGACACAGCCAGCCGGCTTCCTGGAGAGAGTGGTGGAACTTGGTGTCGAGGTCGTTTCACGTCCTTCCGCCGGTGAGCATTTTTTGATGTGCAACTCACGCTTGTCGTTATAACCCGGTTTTTTCCAGACTTGGATCATGTGGAGATACCGTCGGTGATATCGGCAGAATGGTCTCCTCCATCGAAGCTCTATTAACGAGGTGCGTTAGCGGAAGTTCCATCATGCGACTAGTCAGACACTAACTAGACCAACTTTCTCTGATAGCCCTGTGCTCCCAATACATTCTCTCGTTCTTTCGCACAACTTGCACCGTATGTGTACTACCCTCCATCGTCGCCCGGAACTCAATCACATAGATGTTCACCATTGATGATGTCTAAGCATTTGTGCCATTGTCGAGCCTGCTCCAGATGGGGACACTGGTCCCATTGGGTACGCCATCCAATTAGTACTAGGTATGTAGAAGTGGAGGCCATCCCATCTGAAGAGCCACTGTAAGAGTCCGTATTTTTCTCTCAGCCTTCCTGCTGTTACGCGTGCCTGGTCACTGGCAGTGCGACTACCTTGTGCTTCCACCGCCGCTCCTGCAAACGCACAGCCGCAAAGGATGGTATCAGGCGGTGCACCTTCTCCCACCGCCTATGGTAGACCCGCGCAATGGCCGACCAATCCGTTGTCATTGGCATCTCGTCGTCGTCGTCACCCTCGTCGGCGCCAAAGTCGCCCGGATCCATCAGGTCCACCCAACTGTGGTGAAGCTCCTCGATCCCGGCTACCCAATCGGACAGCAACGCAGCGACTGCATAGGGGTCCTCGATGGGAGACAGGCCCACGTCGAGCGTGGTGATCTTCCGCTTCATCGGGAGCCCTCGCATCGGGCGGGCTTCCAAAAGCGCGGGCGGGACGGCGCTAAGGTTCGCGGTGAGCTCGAACTGGAGGGCATCGACGTGAGGACGGCGTCGCGCGAACGCAAGCAGCCCGAAGAGCGTCGCGCGGGGCTGGCGCCACACGTTTCTGCGGTCCACCTTTTTCCCGTTGAGCCGGTACTCCATTCGGCGGTTTTCCTGAAAGGTTCGCAGACATTCGTTTCCTCGAGGGTCGCGGTCGTCGTCTGGAAAGTCACCTTCGGTCGGCAGGCCCCAGCTTTCCTCGCTGACACCCAATTGCAGGCGGTATATGCTCGGCCAGGCATCGGTGAACGCCTCCAGGAGCGCGTCATCGATATCATACGGGCAGCGGATCTGCAACGAAATATCGTCCAGGGCGGACATAGCGAGCAGAGGTCCTAGTGCCGCCCGGCCGATGGGGCGCGGCGCGCGGCCTGTCGAGAATGTCGCAGCGTCGGGAGCGGTGGTCGGCATGACGCGACGTGCGAACACGTAGAACTGGGAGATGGCCTTCGCGCCGCGCAGGCCTGCAACAGTCTCAAGCAAAGGATCGATCTCGTGGCGTGGGACTGCTTTGTTGGCGGTGATCCACAGCTTGGTGAGGTGCGGGGAGCCAACAAAACGGAGGAGGTCTATAGGCAGGGCCAGCGTCTGAGTCGATGTGAGCTCCAGCGCGTGTAGAACGGGGAAGGTCGTGCCCTGGGAGTCGCTTGAACGAGCGAGTGCAGCAAGATGGTCCGCCCAGTCCTCCGATCCGTCCACTACGCAGTCTAGCTTGCGCACTGGCAGGCCCGGCAGTCGTGCGAGGTGTATGAAGGCAGCGGGGGTGAGCGGCAGCACGGACATGCTGGGCAGCTTGAGTGATACAAGATGATACAAGGCGCATACGGTTTTCGACACGGAGGCGATCATTGCCGCGCTGTTGGGGTTCGTCCACATGTAGATCTTTTGCAGCTGGGTATTCATGTCCGCGAGTGTCTTCATCATCTGCACGAAGGCCTCCTCGTCCTTGTCCGTGATTGGCGTCGCGTTCGGCCCAACGTATGGACCGTGGTAGCTGCAGATCCTCACCACCCGGAGCTTCGGCCCAAATAGAATGCGGAACGATCGGAAGACTTCGAGAGGTGTGATCTCGGAGCGCGTGTAGTTGATCTTCTCCACGTTCGGCAGGAGCGGGCGAGACCCCAGGATCGCTGCCAACGTGTCGTATGCGCCCGGAGCTGCGTTGAGGTTCTTTGCGCGAGTGGCGATGTGCGCATCCGAAGTGATTATCCGAACTCGCTGAGCGTATGCCAGGAACCGCTCGAGCGGTGAGCCTTGCAGGACATCAACAAGATCCTTTCCCAACCGTAGAAGGTTAGCGAAGTCGAGAATGCCATAGAGGAAAATACTTGCCAGTTGTCTATGGTCCCCAACCAAGCGCCCCTGCGCCGCTATTTGCCTCTCAGAATATACCTCCTTCCCCAGTGTGAAGAAGAGGAGGGCGATATCGGGGATGGCGTACCACAAGACATCCATCGTGGGCTCGAGGAAGAGGCGGGCCGTCACAGCGAGGGCAGCGACAGTCCGGGAGCCTACGTGTCGCCGACGATTTCCATCCTCTTCGTGAGGGAGAATGAGAAGCATGCGACATATGTTCCGGAGCACGGCAGGGGGGAACTGACGGACAACGCTCATTATCAGTGTCGCGCTCTGTATTAGAGGGTTTGTGAAGGAAGACGTGTTCAACGAGCGGTGAGGAATAGCACAGGTTGCAGATATTGCAGACACGCACCTTTTACTTAACATCGCAGGAAGCGAAAAACGTGGGGGTAAACGCCGTCCGATTACTGGTAGAGTTTCGGTACTGCTAGTAGCATGGGCATGTCCCGAATCAGAAGTAAGGTCTTCGGCACCTGGCATGATCTGACTTCGTTGAGAACATCCTATTCACGTTTATCTAGTTTTGGATCATTGATTTCAGTAGCAGCTTTTGGGATACTTATACGATCAGACAGGAAATTCTGCATGCACGTCAGGTTTACGCATCGCATGACAATGCGAGGCCGTGATGGACTAACCTACGTGTTAACCACGCAACCTTCTGGCATTCCTTGCTACAATACATCACCGTCCAATTTGAGCATCCGGACCACTTTCAGAGCTTGTCGCCCTCCCATGGTCCCAAGCTACAGTGCATACATGTCTTAAAGTCGAACAGGGATGCCGCTGGCCTTCCTGGGGTCCTAAAACCGTGGATTGAAGAGTAAAAACAAACATTGGAGGGGAACGGAGAGGGTCAGCAGCGGAGACGCGTGCGAAACAATAGCTGTACTCACGATAAAGATGCTATTTAGTGATGTTCTCACAACGCGAGCAGTGCACTGAATAGCTGCTTCGGGGAGAGCTGGGTCTTCCGCTTCCCACTGAGCGCAGCGTGCAGGCCTTCGTACTCCTTGCTCGTCGGCGAGTACTTGTCCCAGTCCGCAAAGAGCGGCTCCCACACCCACTTCCCCGCTTTCCGCGCGAACCGTCCGGGAAGCGGTATCTTCGAGATCCCGCTCTCGAGGCAGCGGAGCGGGAAGCCTTTGTTGATCGTCCCACAGCAGAGCAGCAGGACGTCCTCCAGAATATCGAGCGAGGCCTGTTCCAGCGGCAGCCGTTTCCGCACGTGCAGGATCGGAAAGTTCAAGGTGTTGCTCATCGAGACACGGTCGCACTTGAAGACCGCACACATGACGCACGCGAACGCGCTCCCGCAGCGCTGCTCCATGAACGCGGCGACCTGTTCGCGCTCGGGGTCGGTACCGCGCCAGTACTCCGCGTTGGCCGGGTTCGAGGCGTTCCAGTCGGCGATGTCGATTACGCCTTGTGCCCGGAGGGAGAACGTGAGGGCGGGGTTGCGCTCGACGGGCGTTTGGCGTGGGGTGGTGCGGCAAACGACGTCGAAGTTCATCATGTAGATCGGCGGAATCTTGCAGAACTTGACACCGCCGAGCTTGAGAATGTACGCTTGGGTGCACGTTTGGAGGGCCCATAGGTGCGCTTCCATCCAGTCGTTGAGGGCCCGCGAAAACGCGAGGGAGTTAGCGAAGCCGAAGGGCCGCACTTCCATTTCGAACAGAGGGTCCATGTTTTTCGTGGCTTTTGACATGTACTGACACGACGGCCTAGAAATGGAACGTAAGAAACAGTCTCAAACCGAAACACTCCCAGGTGGACTCCACGTACTTGTGATCATCCCAGGCCGACCTCTGGCAAAGTTTGCTGCAATATATGACATATTCGCAGGCGGCGCATTTCTTCATCTTTTGCGACGGTTTCTCCGCCTCTCCACACCAGCTACAGCGTCTCAGGTCGGTTGGCATCCGCAGTCCCGGGTGGACGTCCATGGCGACAAACTCCTCTGGACGGTGGAGTTGGTTGGAGTTCAAGGTGCACACAGTCGCCGGCCGGTAGAGCTTACCACGTGGAATGTCGCAGCCACAGCAAGGCGCTGGCGCTTCCTGAGGCGTTCGATATCACTTGCCCAATTCTTCGTGCCAGGACACCTGGACACGCGAGAGCATCCTTGTTTCACCATAGTCTTGGTCTCTCCCACTGTACACCCCCCTGATGAATCCAAGAAACTTCGCTTGGGCAAAAACAAGATAGCATCCGGTTGATAATACAAGGTATGAGCATGCTGCCTTACATAGCAGGCTTCAAATCAGCATCAGTTGCGTCGACCAGTACTCCTTTAGAGCAGTGGAGCCGTTCCTCAGTCAGCATTCACTGGAGGCAACGGCTCGCGCCGCCCAGGCACGGGCCATATCTCCGTCATCGTCGACGCGTCCCAGATACGCCCGCCGCGCGCGACGAACCGGATGTCCCTCGTGCCGCTGATGTCGCCCTCGAGCAGATCGACGCCTGGGGGGTATACGACGAAGTCCGCGAGCTTTCCGGGGGTCAGCGACCCGATCGCGCCGTCGATACCTAGCGTAGCTGCCGCGTCGGACGTGGCAGCGCGGAGGACCTGCCACAGGAGTAGTTAGAGCGACGTCCGCAGACGTGCACAGGTGACTTGAACTCGCCTCGTAGTTTGTCAGGCCACCAGCCTTCGTGAAGAACATTTCCGCATGGTAGTTGACGCCGAGCGGCGTCTCTCCATGGGCGCCGATGTGCGCTTTGAGACCCTTGCGGACCATCTTGGCCGTTGATATTGAGGTGTTGAACACTTGGAACGCTGTAACTGCGTCAGCACGAGACAAATATAAAGTCACGAGGGAGCTGCTTACAATCCAACGGCCGGGAAGTAGTCTCGCTCACACTTTCAAGGATGTCGTGCCGGGCAAACCGACGGAGCCTGGAACATAACGGATTGAGCGAAACAAAAGCATGATTCCTGCATGCTGTACGTACCTCTCAGTGCCTGGAATGTCTTCATTTGCCCAGATGTACTGCTCGCCCATCACACCGCCGTAGTTCACGATATGGGTAGGCGTGGACCCGGTGCCGCTCAACGCGTACAAGTTGAGGATGTCGTCGTAGAGCACCGGAATAGGCAACGGGTGCTCGATAGTAGTCATGCCTGACGAGACAAAAGTTAGATTCGGAGCCCATGCGGACGCTCGGGCCTTGAGACATACCGTCCACGATGTATGTTTGGTCCCAGTCGTAGTTCATGCCCTATCCGAGAATCAGGAAAAGTCATTTGACCGCGGACACGTTTACTTACACCTTCGGGAACACATAACATTGACAAGTTGCGAGCTGCGAGGAGCAGCCTCTGGCGAGAAGCCCTGTGAATAGAGTTTAATCAACTACACCTTAGCGTTTTTAAAGAATAAGTGTACACACCGCGAAGGCAAGTTATAGTTCTTGTACGAGAAGCTGGACGGTCCGCCCTCGACCTTAATTCTCAACAGCGCCGACTTCGCCTCGTCCATGTCGACAATGTCCTGGTGGTAGGTCGACGACCCGGCGCCGTAGATGATAGTGCCAGTCTGGAAAATGCGAGGCCCGACGAGTTGGCCGCGCTCCGTGCGGAAACGTTCCGAAAAGGCGAGCACAGTGTCCGCGCTGGGGCTGTAGAAAGGTCAGTCGGCGGATTCGAGCGTAACATGGCGAGACATACTTATGCAGAGTCGTAACGCCGTACGCGAGGAAAGTCTCCATCTCCCACGACCGCGCAGGGTACATGGTCTCGAAGCCGTTCCAGTGCGCGTGCACGTCAATGAAACCGGGTACGATGTATCCTGACATGCAATGTGAATACGCAGAACAACTACGCAGTCGCAACGAATACACTCACCACCCTGTGCGTCGAGCACCGTCGCCCCGTACGGGATGACGGCATCGTGAACGCCCACGATCGCCTCGATCTCACCGTTCCGCGTCACGAGCACCGCGTCGCGCAGGACGTCCGATTTGAGGTCGCCCGTCTCCATTGTCACCAGCGTCGCGTTCGCGATGACGAAGAAGTTTGCGTTGGGGGCGGCCTCCTCGCCGTACTTCTCAGCTGCGAACGCGGCGGCTTCCTTCTTGAGACGGTGGACGTCGCTCGCGTACTCGACGACGACTTCCTGGAACTTAGGGAGTGTCTTCGTGCATTCAATCCCGAAGGTGTTAGTGTCCCGCTTCGCTGCCTTCGAGCACGCGTCGAGCTTGGAGATGTCGACGTGATGGAGCCAGGGTCCTGCAATAGTGGATCTCGTCAGCCATGAGTCGCTATGAGAGGTGACGACCACGTACCCAAGAACCAGAAGAGCTTCGAACCGTCGCCGCTCCAGGTAATCGAATGACCACCGTCAACACTCAGCTTCAGCAGGCCCTTCGTCGCATTCGCAGGCTTGCTCCAAATAGCGTCGTCCGCCGCCACAGCCGGGGCGTAGTAGACGTGATAGAAGTCTATTACCGCCGCCTGCGTCTTGCCCTTGGACGACCCCGCGCTCGGAGGTGGAATCACGAGCTCGTCCGACGAGCGTCCGGTCGCCAGAGTTTCGTGCGGGTAGTCGCCCAGCTCGTTCGGCCCCGCTGCGAGGTCGATGACGAAGGCGCGCCGGGACTCCTGCACGAGCAGCTTCTTGTTCTTCTCGATGAAGCGGAGCTGCGTGTGCAGCAGGTCGTCCGTGTCAATCTCGGTGGCTACGTAGCGGATGTTCTTGATCGTAACGGGCGAGCTCTGGAGGTCCGATCTGGACGGCAGCGTGAGCTCGCCGATGTAGAGACCAGCGCCGGCGGTAGCGACGACGTCGCCGGTGAGATAGTCGCCGCCCGTCCGTACGAACGCGATCTGGCGGTTGAGCCCCGCGCATGCGCACACGATGGGGGAGTAGTAGCGGCCAAAGGGCAGCCCGCTAAGCTCATATGCGACTCCGGACGTGATGTTCGCCAACTCGAGCGTGGTGAAGTTGACATCAGACCAGCGTGCGTGAAGGACGAGATCGGATGCACCTGGGACAAAGGATGGGGAGTAGTATGACGCATCAGGATGGAGCGTAGGAACGCGTTGCACCTCCGCATCTTCTCCGACCTTCTGCACGTATGTGGCTCCCGCGGCTTGGAAGACAACCTGGTCGCCAGACTCATCAACGCGCAGCTCGTGGAATGCATATACCCGTTGAGTATCGGCTGACTCGGTCGCCTTGATATTGATCTTGGACGAACGAGTTTCCGCGAGGCGTTTCTCGATATGCGCGATGAAGGGAATGGCTTGGGGCTTGCCGCCGGAAACGCGCTCGCCAACCGCGTTCGTAGCCAGAGGGACGTGGTAGATCTGCCCAGCCGCCCAGATAATGATAGCGTCGTCTGCGGGTGTGAACGCAAAGGACGGATATGTCCCCATGGGCGCAGAGACGACCGCGAGGTCGTACGTGAGGCCGTACCAAATGTTGCGGATTGTGCCAGTCTCGAGATCCCTGCGCTACCGGTGAGCAAGGTTTCCAGAGTCTTCGGACGACTCACTTCAGCACCAATGCTTCCTTGTTTCGCACACGGCGTACGAATGCTAATGTACGGCCATCTCGCGAGAGTTCGGGCCGCGTCGCACCACCGGGGAACGAATCCACGAGTGTGCTCGTCCGCTTGGAGGTTAAGTTCACAGAAAAGATAGCGTTGAAACCCGCATGAACATCTTGACAATACTACATTAGCATCGCCATAAGACGCGGGTCATTCGCAATACCTTTGCTGTATGTCCAGGCTCCGTTGTCGACGACGTTCTTCGAGTAGATAAGCGTGTCATTGCCCTTCCAGACGAACTGTTCGGGGCCGACTTGCTGGTCCCCATATCGCTCAGGACCCCAACCAGGAGGCAGTGTACGGCCGACCAGTCGCGCGCCGCTGCCAGCCTTGATAGCCTCACTCTTGGCGTTGCCCTCCGGGATTGGGTACTCCCATCCCTCACCGGCACCAAGACTGCGCGAAGACGTGTACCACTTTGTCGCCACGATTTTGCTGCCGGAGGGGTGGAAACGAGCGTCAGAGACCCATCTGTACGTCTCATTGGTGACACGTTGAGCTGTACAGTGTAAGAGTTCGTTTGCTACACGCAGTCGCGCTGGGTACATACCATTCAGTCTCCCCTCGCGAAGCAGCCTGCGCTGCTTGCGCGCAATAGTTTCCTTGACCCCGTTCGCCAAGAGGTCTTCTTCTTCCGTTTGGAGCTGCAGTGCGTGCGAGAGCTCCGCGCTCGTAGCATGGACGGGCCGGAGGTCGGAGTCCTGGCATCCCGTCCACTCTTTGATCCAAATGTTCTCAACGCCGAGTTCAGCGTCGCTACGGAACACGATGGTATTGCCGTCAGGAGAGAAGTGAGGGTCGGAATCGTGGGGCACGCCAAGAAGAACCGGGATTGCCCTCGACAGCGTTTCATAGTCTCCTATCTGAGCTCCAGTATATGCACTTGCTGGCAGACAGTATATATCGCCGAGCATATCGAAGACAATATCGCCAGTCTTGGGGTGGACGTCCAGCCGGAGCCATGTTCCCTCTGTCACATCGTATTCGAGGCGGCGGGGGAAATGGAAGTCTGTGGAGATGTCCCAGGGCGTTTGCTCGCGAAGAGGCCAAATGTCGTCCTTCCACTGTTCGCTCGGGTCGGCAGAGGATGTGACGGACTCACGAGAGAGATCGAGGACTCGAGCAGGACTCCATGGCAAGGGTAGAAGGGTGGAGAGCAGGAGCGCGGAGGACAAGAGCAGAGCAGTCCTGACTAAACGCGGTCTTCCGGCGTATCGGTGTATGGCGTCGAATTGCCCGAGCTTCTCAGCGGGCGCAGCCATGTCTCCAGCTGCAGCGCTCCGGAGAATTGCAGGTCTTGAGACGCGGCGTACGGATCCCCGGCGTATTCAACCTCCTGAGGAAGATATGTGTCAGAGCTTCTCTCGACTGAAAGCAGCTGCATGCTCGCCTGCAGCTTCAGGACACTCTTGCCGGTGTCGGAGACGATGGGAGTTCGAGGACAAGCTCTCACACGCGAAACCGGTCGCGTCAGGTCGCGTACCGTCTCCTGGGCGCCTTTCCCCACATTCGTCATTGGCGCCCATCGGCGTCGATTCGGCGACGATATGCCTCTCTGATTCACACGTCCATGTAAAACACCTCGATTGGCCATGCCGTGTGTGTATGGTGCATATTGTAGCGCTTTCGGGGCTTATTTCAGTATATAACAATCATCCCATGAGAGAGGAAGAGTCAAACGCCCCTGGAATCAACCCAAGAATCAACCTGAGCTCACTCACACATACACGCTACCACCATGCCGTCTCTCGAGCTCAAGACAAACGTCTTTATCGCTGACCCAAAGGCCTTCTCCCTTGAGTTCTCCAAGGTAAGTGCTCTCATCAAGACCCAGACAACGTGATTCCACAAACTCTCCCCCAGTTCGCGGCAGAAACCTTGAATAAGCCAGAGAGTTACATCTCGGTGTCTTACCTCTACCAGGAGCACCTCACCTTCGCTGGGTCCTTCGACCCCGCGTTCCTGCTCTACATCGTGAGCATATCAGTCCCTCCTAGCCTCCTGCTAGAATTGCTCTGATCGCGTCGATATGCTGCGTCGACATGCTACGCAGACGAGCTTGAACAACATCAACCCGGAGGTCAATCAGCAGTACTCCAAGGCGTTTTTCGCTTACTTCAAGGAGAAGCTCAGCGTCGAGGGAACCCGTGGTTACATGTGAGTGGCGGCATACCCCCCGGCGTCACACCCTGGCTGATGAACCCCAGCACCTTCTCCGACCCGGGGCGCGACTATCTGGGGTAAGTTCGAGCTAAAGCTCACAACTAGAACGCGTTAACAGTGCTGACGGTGATTTACCATTGAGCTACAACTCGACCACGGTTGCGGCAATTTCCAAATAGACCCGCAAGACGCCGCAGAAGAAGGGTACAAATGTATGATCATAAAAATCTATGCATGCAACAGTCGACAATTGATTACAAAGTGCATCTGTATCACCCCATTAGCTGCCATATATCACTCACGGGATGAGAAAATGCCTACCAGTAGTGGAGAGGTCCGACGATTTCGGCGCCATACTCCCGCAATCCCTCGATAAATTCGCTGAATATCCCAGAGACCCGTTTGAACACGACCCTCTTCAACGGGCGGCCCACATTCTGGCGGTCGGTCAAGAGCCATATGATCGACGCCCTTTTCCCATTCGTGAAGGAGACCAGGTCGAGCTCGAGGTCCGTCAACTCCGGGCAGAACCGCGCAGGACCGCCAGGTGCAGCGTCGTCCGGGACGTGCCGCGTGAGGTCCTGACAAATGTTCTCGAGATCCCCGCCCGGCCGGACGAGGCGGAGGACGCGCAGGCGGGTCGCGGCGCGGAAGACGCGCGTCCAGTCGCCGAACTCGCCAAACTCGTCTTGGAAATCCCCGCGGTACGTGAGGCGCTGCGCGGAGTCCACCAGCGTGGCCGGGATGCCGTTCCCGATATACTCCAGCTCCTCGGTTTCGACGGAGATCGTTGCGACACGGTGCGCGTTCCCGCCGGCGTCCCAGGAGGACAGCTTGAAGTACACCGTAAACTCGAGCAGCTTGACGGTGATTTCGACACTGGGCAGGTCTTGCAGCGATGGGAGATGCTCGCGATTGTCAGGAAAGACGGGAAAAAGCGTGGAGCCGTCTTCCAACTTGATGTCGATAGTGAACCGTGTCGTGGGAGGCAGCGCGAGGTAGGAGAGCAGGTTCGCGATACGAGAGGGTGCGAGCTGCCGAAAGATGACTCTAGATAGCCGAGGAAGGGGGACGACAGGCTCCGGCTCTTGTCGGGGAGCGCTATGGTAGATTTTGGGGAGCTCGAGTGCCAAGGTCTGCAAATGGGGGCATCTTCTGAAGATCGCCAGGAGCTGCGCTTGAGCGGGGTAGTAGACGCGCCAGTCTGTTGCTCGGAGCTCGAGGTGTGTGAGGTCCTTGAAGATGTCGCTATCCCACGACAGCAGAACCGGCGCGAGGCGCACTGACCGCAGCGAGGGAGTGGCCGAGCGATACTTGCCTCCGTCGAAGATATGGAAGACGTAGGGAAGCTGCTTTGCCCGAGGAATCCTGTCGTCGTCGCTTTCGCTTTCGCTATCGCCAGTGCTTTCGCCTTGGTCCAGGAAATGCAGCTTTTTCAAGTGCGGGGCGGGTCGACCGACGAGACTCGCCAACAGCCGGGAGATAGGCTTATGGTACGAGCTGTCGATCCCAATCTCGAGCGAGCGAAGGCGACGCAGCACGCTTGACAGCAAAAAAGCGGTCCAGTCGTTGAGCGACGATGCTGGAAGGTTGATGTCAAGCAGGAGATGCGCAGAGCGATCGAGGAAAGCCTGCGCCTCGGGGATGGTGGTACCATACAATCTGGTGACCTTCGTCCAGAGCGTCGGGCTGTCGAGTGCGACGGAGCGAAAGAGCCTGCAGACATGCGTAGCTTGGATGAGGGCGCGAGTGTGTGGGGGTTTCACGACCAAGTAGTGGAAAACATGTACGAGCAGCTCGGGAGGGAGGCTTTGGATGCTCGTTTGTACCTTCTGCAGGTGATTCGGAGGCGGCTCGTGTGGAAAAGGCCCTAGCGCAGGAGATGTTTCTGATCCAGGAAGGAGTTCATCCAGCGAGTCTGTCTGTGTCTGGTCGGAACTTGGGGGTATATCCAAAGTGGCAGGGGCCCCCAACAGTGACATATTGACGTCCTTGGGTCCTGGAGTACTAGAGTAGTGACGTTCGGAATCAGAACTATGTCCGTCTTAATGAATGAGAGCACAGACTAAAACACAGTTACCTTCGACTGGTGACAATTAGAAATAGTACTAACGGATAAGCAGAACGTTGAGTCAGACGACGATTATTGGCTGAGCGCTTACCATTTTGCCCACTGGTAGCGCACCGATGTCTATATTAGGAAGGTATCTAAGAACGGAAAGCTTGCATGCAACTTGGGCACCAGCATGCACTATGAGGCGTAAGTATTACGGCGGTAATGTTTCAAGAGCCGAAAACCAATCTAAACGCCCTTGAGTCTTGGAAGCCCTTCACCTAGCAAAGGCGCTGGCAGCCTAAGGTTCTCGCCCGAACGCTTGCGTCAGCGTAGCATCGTCGTTTAAATCCTTAACCAAACCCCTCATACTCCTCTCATGCCTGCCGGTCCCGACGGCCCTACCCAAATCGGTACTCGCAAGTGCGAGAACGTGAAGTGTGGCCGAGGCACTGAAACTGGCGGGAAACTCATGAAGCAATGCGCTGGATGTTCATCCGCGACGTACTGCAGCAAAGAATGCCAAAAGGCAGCATGGCCAATGCACAAGTCAGTAGCGCACACTGGAATTGCCCGCTTTCTGCCACTGACTATTACTGCTTCTAGGCCGTGTTGTCGCTTAATCAAGCGGAACGCGGAGGTCCTCTCCAGCCTGGATGAAGATGCGCAACGCTTCGGATACGAGTCTTCCATAACCTTCGCGCAGGCGATGCACGAGTACACTGAGGCGCACCAATGGGCCGTCTACAACATGATACTCGCTCACATCCTGTTGAAAAGCGGCCCAAGCATGGCTATCGCTCAGCGGGAACCTATCGGCGCGGTCATGCTGCGATTTCTCCTGGTCTGCCAATCGACTCCAGCGACGCCGCGCTCGCAACGCAACCCTGCGACCACATTCAAGGTCGTCGAGCACGGATTTATGCGCATGGACTACTACGCCACCGGCCCCGCGCGGAATGCACGGCTCTGCGCGGACATGATAAAGGAGTGCCAAACCTACCACGAAAAGAACTTGAGATCGAAGACCCTCGGTCCGTTCTACGTCGGAGTCATTCCCATCGTGTACACCACCTCCGAAGTATGCGTCCAGCACATCACCCTCTTTCCTGTGTTCCGACCACCGAACAACATCAACATGGACCCCTTGGTGAAGCGCGTCCTCCACGACTTAATTCGCTACTGCGTGTACACGATGGACAACGGCTTCCCGCTCCGCGCGGTCGACCACAGCATCCAGCCGTACTACGCCGTCCCGGGGCGTTTCACGCGCTCGAAGGATAAGCAGTGGATATGGGAGGCGCTGTTCGAAGAATGGGCCGAATATGAGGACGGGCGTACGCACTGCGGTCGCCTTCCGGGGATGGAGGAGCTGGGACTAGCGATGTCCCCCGGCGCATTGATGAACCTCTACACCGCGTTCTGGGTGATGAAGACTGCTACCGTTGGTGCGTGATGCGCCGGTGAGACTCGGGCCCGCGATGCTGATCGCTAACGTTGCTTCCGGCCGTCAGTGAGTCTCAACCTGCCAACCAAGTACTCTGTCTAGCGTCGGATCGGTCATTTGAGCCAATTATCGAAGACTGCGTGGAAATTTCAAGCACTATCATGTAGGACATGAGAAATCTAGTACGCACGACGTCGGCATGGGAGTGGAGAGCCGCGTGGGCGCTAATAAGCTCTTGGAATGCATAATGTGCTTGGAGTGAAGCATGTATTGTTTCCGACACGAGTGCAAAGGGACGTGGTCAGGCTGTGGCCCAGTGTGTCCTCGGACGGGCTAAGCGATACTGGTGGTAGATGATAGAGGAGGAAAAGGGATGGATCGCAGAGCGATGCACGGAATTTCGCACGTGGCAGAGCGTGCGGTTTAGACGCCCGTGAAGAATCAGATGGGCGTCGGCCTGACTTCGAGGCACCTTCGAGGAGCAGTCCACCTCCCAAGCTTTACCTCCCTCTCAAAGACTTCCGACATAGCTCCTTAGATAATAGTGAGGGGACGTGACCGGCCGCCGGTCATCGTATCTCTTTGCCTGATTGCCGACTCGCTGCACCTTGAGCTTAACAGAAGCTGCGGTCCAGGAATCTTTCGCCATGGACATCCAATCACTAGGATTAAAGGTGCCCACAGACCTAAGACGCTGCAGCTGGTGTGGGGAGGCGGAGAAGCCATCGCAGAAGCTGAAGAAATGTGCCGCCTGCGAGTACGTCATGTACTGCAGCAAACAATGCCAGAAGTCAGCCTGGTCAGACCACAGGTACGTCCGAGCTCTCGCCTGATTATGCTACTGCGCAAGTACTTGTCTCACAGGCTACTTCTAGGGGATCGTGTCAGTACATGTCACAGGGCGCGAAAAATATGGATCCCAAGTCCGAAGCAGAACTACACCCTTTCGGCTTCGCCAATTTTGTCGCCTTTTCTCGGGCAATCAACGACTGGATGGAGGCGCACATGTGGGCCCTTCAGACGAGCGCTCAGGTGTATATCCTCATGCTCGGCGGCGTCAAATTCCTCAAGATCCCTCCCATCTACATGACGCACTTCGACGTAGTCTGCCATACCACCCCAGGCCTGACGCCCGCCGAGCGCAACCCGGCACTCGCGTTCTCGGTCCGGACGCAAGACGTCATAAACATCGCCGAGTGGATCGCCTTCGACCCAGCCAACGCGGACTACTGGCGTGGTACCGACCCCGAGCGCGAGCAGCTTGCCCAGTTGATGGAGCAGCGCATTGGCAGCGCGTTCGCATGCGTCATGTGCGCCCTCTTCAAGTGCGAACGCATCACGATGGCAAACACGCTGAACTTCCCGATCCTGCACGTACGGAAACGGCTGCCGCTAGACAAAGCGTCGATGGACATCTTGGAGGATGTCCTGGTGCTCTGCCGCGGGACAATCAACAGCGGCTTCCCGCTCCGCTCTCTGGAGGGTGGGGACTCGGCGATTCCCCTCCCGGGGCGGTTCGCGCGGAAAGCGGGGAGGTGGACCTGGGAGCCGCTCTTCGCGGACTGGGACGAGTACTCGCCGACGAGCAAAGAGTATGAAGGCCTGCACGTCGCCCTCGGCGGGGACCGGAAGACTCAGCTCTCCCCGAAGCAGCTACTGAGCGCCCTTCTCGCGTTATGATAATTCCACCACAGTACTTACAAGCTACAGCCCGTACAGTCTTTCCACATTCCCGGTCCACTGTCTATTGTCTTATATCAGAATTTGTACATAGACGTCTGCGTGTTCGCATACGTGGAGAATCTGTAACTCGAACTCCGGTGCCCAGGTGGCGAAGACGACCAAGGAACGCGTCGGATAGTCCGTCCACCTGCACGAACTCCACCCTCCTGAGCGCAAGGCCTACCTCCGCACGCTCGCGCAGCAGCTGCGTGATGAGTGCCTCTTCCTCGTCGGAGAGCGTAACGCCAACAAGCTCGAGGGCCTCCAGCTTCGGACACGGCCAGCCTGCGCCAGGAGCGTCGTTGCAGCGCGCCGCCGACGCGTCGTTCACTGCGAGAGCGCCGAGGCCCCGAAAAAGGCCCGCTAGGGCCCTCGGGGGGATCTCGAGACGGAGAACGCGCAGATGCACGAGTGCATCGAAGACGGGGATCTAGTCCACTGCCTTGTCCTCCTTCAGCGCCATGTGCTCCCACCCACGGAGGATGAGGACGTTGACGGACCGAGGGATTACGGCGCAGATGACACACTCCGTGCGTCCTCGTGGTGGTAGCCTGAGCGCGTATAAAATAGACACAGTCATGAGGGGGTCCACGGTTTCGAGATCTGCCGATGGGAATATGTAGAAAGTGACGTCCTGGGAGTCAGGGTGCTCGAATTGAACGTCGGCCATGTGGAATTCCCTCCAATCCGCCAGACGATTGGGGTGCGTAGTTAGATCCTGCCATGGCAGTTCTGTGTTCAAACTGATGTCGTAGCGAGTTGCTGCAGGGAGGATGAGATGAGATAGAAGTTGTGTGAGATATGCGTAAGGGAGATCACGAAGGGTGATACGTAACAGCAAAGGAAGGGCGACTGCACACGCTGCGAAGGACTCGGAGGCACTGCCAATAGCTAGAGACCCGAGCACCAAGCGCTCCAGGTGAGGGCACTGTCGCAAGATCTTCAGGAGTTCTTCTTCGCTCAACCCACGCATCAAGCTGTCTAGCTCGAGAGCGGAGAGGTTGCTGTAAATGGGACTGTTCCAGGGAGGGTAGAACATGTTTGAAAGCAGTGATCGAAGGGGGGGAGTATGATTAGTTTGCATGAAGATTGCCCGCCCTCAATTCTCCATGAATTCGGCGGCTGCGGCATAGTCTTGCCGGTTCATGGTTTGTCCAGTTACGTGGAGAGTAACCAAGTAGGGGACGGGATTGTTGTCGAGGCATGTCATGAGTCCTATCACGGAGACCGTGTCGTAGACTTCGACGATGAGCGACCGAAGTCGATGTGTTAGCCCACCCAGCATCGGTAACAACGCCTCGAGGAGCCGCCCTTCACGGATGACGAAAGACACAAGGGAAGCACCTTTCGCACGCCCGACGAAAGTGGTTGCCTTGTCAAGGGTGGTGACAGTGATCGTTGTCCAAAGCGAGGTATAGTCCAACGCGACATCGCGCCACCGGCCGCATACGTGGGTTGCGCGCACGAGGTCGCATTCCTCGGAAGTGATTGTTGTCCAAAAGAAAACCCGTTCGAGAACATCAGAAGGAAGGCGGTGAATAGGTAACCTGGCGTTGCGCGGACCCTGGTGCTGCAATTCCTCGATGGCAGGTCAAGGTTTTGGAGACACTGCAACCCGCTGCAACCCGCCTGTCTGAACAGAGACTGAAGGATTCATGCGAGCTTTAGTAGTTCGAGAGTATCCGGGATATTTGTTGGCAGTGCCTTGAGGAGTGTATCGCTAACGATGTTGGAGCTCGTGGCTACTCGTAAGTATCAGAACTCTTCAATGATGTCGAACGCGTTGAAGCGACGTACCGACGTCGTTTACGTGCAACGCTTGATGTAGACAAAAGAACCGTCCGGTATTCAGCTTTTGAAGCTCAGGGCCTCGCTGACGAAAGTAGTGAGAAAGGCGAGCATAGTAGGACAGTGAGCGAAATAGACGGCGTACAACTTATCGCCCAGGTCACCGGTGACGACAATCAGTTGTGAAAGCCACTGGTATCAACCAGTACTTGATTTCAGATGCGTATTGCAGCCCAGTTTGAAGACGACCTAAAGCAACACCGTGGCGAGTACGGTACGGTGACAGTGGGTTCGTCGCCGCCGGTGGGAGTGAGCTCGAGTGGCGGGAGTGAGCGCTCCGTCCGGCGCAATTGACACGTGGGCAATGCGCCTCAGGCTCCCGATTCGGATGTCTCCTCCTTGCTCCTCTTTGTAACCCCATTGGAGGTAACCTTGACACGACTTGAATTAGCTCTGGACGCCACGGTAAATACACACGTCCATGCTGTGTATATCTTCATATCAAGCAACTAGCACACTACTCTCACATTCCAGGGACGTTCAAGAACGCATCACAACCTCTCCGAACGGGGAGCCACCTGTAAATCAAAATGTCACCATTTTCTCCCCTCGGTGCAGAACTTAGAGTACATACCGATTTGCTAGAATTCACCCGTAAATGTCTTCGTGTCTGCATACCACTCCGGGGGAGAATCCATGACTTGGACCGCGACGCCCAATTCCTGGAGGTTTTGAAGGAATGTGCCGGATGGCCCGTCCACCCGCGCGAGCTTCACCGTGCTGAGGGCAATACCGGCACCTGCACGAAGGCGCAGCCACTCGATGACAAGTGTCTCCACCTCCGCCGAGAGCATCACGCCAACGAGCTCGAAGGTCTCCAGCTCCGGACACGGCCAGCCCGTGCCGGGAGAGTCGCCGTAGCGCTCCAAGTCGTCGTTCACCGCAAGAGGGCCGAGGCCCCTCAGCATGCCGGCGAGCTCTTGAGCGCCTCCGACGTGCATGAGATGGAGAATGCGGAGGTACACGAGCGACTGGAAGACGGGGATCCAATCGAGTTCCTCCTCCAGAACCCCCTGCTCCCACCCACGGAGCCTGAGGACGTCGACGGAGCCTGGAATGCCGACATGAATCGCACGAACGGTGCCGCGTAGCCCGAGCATACTGGGCATGTAAAGGGTCATGAGGAGACCTGCGGGGCCACTGCGCGTCGCCGACTTGAAGAAATACGAAAGTATGTCGCCACGGTGTGGGTGTCCGATGAGAACCTCGGCCATGCGGAAATCCTTCGAGTCTGCCAGGCGGGTAGTTTGCTCCAGGGGACCGGTGGGCTGCCTCAAGACATCGTCGGCGGACCCGAAGATCTCGTGATGAGTGGTCGCAGGGAGGACGAGGTGAGTGAGGAGCTTCGCGACTTGCGTGTGCGGAAGGCTGCGAAGCGTGATTTTGGACAGCGAAGGTAGCTTGACAGTCCATGTTGGATCATCGGATATGGCGAAAGGAGCGGTGAGTCGCAGCTCGATGTTAAGACGCTCCAGCGTGGGACACCGTCGCAGGATAGTCAGGAGCATCATCTCGCTGATCGGAACGGCCGCATGTATGCACCCGATCTCAAGGACAGAGAGATTCGAGTAGATCGTCCAGCCCCACGGGATAACGATAGGATGTAGACGAAGATGTCGAAGCTTCGGAGTCGCGGGTACCGCATCCGCTGACAGCCAGCCTTGGCTGAGCCGCAATGTCGCCGCGCCTTGTGCGTTGAATCTGAGGGCCGCTTCACCTTCGTGTGCTTCTGCGAACGCTCCCACCACATGGAAAGTCTCCAGATGGGGGGCGACACAGAGAGCGAGGCCCTTCACGATCGGAATGATTGACGTCGAGTCCTGGACCTCGATGACGAGCGACAGAAGCCGTGGGATGAGATGCCGCAGCGTTGGTGCAAATGGGGGTACGAGCGCGCTCTCACGAATTACAATGGCGATGAGATTGTCTTTCGCACGTCGGAGGAAAGTAGTCGCCTTGTGGATAGTAGTGACAGATAGGGTCGACCAAAGCCAAGAGTAGTCCAGTGCGACCTCGCGCCACCACTTGCAGACATGGGTGGCATTGACCAGGTCGTGCTCGTTGGGCGAGGTGGATACGGAATAGGAGAACACGCGGACGAGGACCTCGGAAGGGAGGCGGTTGACAAGGGCTTTAGTGTTACGGAGGTACCGCAAGTGGATAGCGACGTCCTGGATCGCTTGCACTGATCCTTGGAGTAGCGCCAAGTGCTCGTCTACGGTTGAGCGGAGAGCCTCAGCGGGGATGGAGGACGGGTCGAGGCGCCGCAGGTCCCGCAACACGATCGTTCGACCGGTACCGGTGGAAGGCGATGAGTCGGTAGCGGAGAACTCGATGGAATCCGGAAGATCTGCCATGGTCCTAGAAGTGACATATTCAGCGTAATTTTTCATCGAATGAAAGAACGGAACCAACGAGTAAGCAGACCGAAATTGTGTGTTGGTGGCTTGTGGATAGTGGGGTGGTAGTGAAGTTGAGAAGAGCCCAGGGGGCAACCAGACGAGCTTTTCGCTACTCCAACCTCGAAAAGTGAAAGCTAAGACCCCGGAAACCAGTTTGATACTACTACTATCTTAGCCGAGATAAGATAGCGATCGCCTACACTACTCCTCCCATCCTTGATGCTCTTGTAGTCTCCTCACCAGCCGCTATGGGGATATGTCCAAGATGGGAGGGGACTGAAAGCATGGAGAGGACTCTAAATGACATATCGGCTCTCTCTTTCGGCACAGCGGTCACGGCAACCCCACTTGGACGTGCCCGCGAGCAGGCGCGACCATGTAGCGCGAGCAGCTGTACATGTGCTGCCTGGTCCTGCAGGCAAATTTGGTCGCGCGAAGCGTATTCTCGCCGTTGTTCGAAGCTTGCGTGTCGTGAATTTGTTCGCAAGCTGTCTGTGAGCAGATCGCGAGGGCCCTATATTCGAAATAATGCCGCGCTTTATGAGAGCGGGCATCGAAGAGCTATACCCTGCGTGAGACAGACCGACCATGCGCCTGTTTAATAATTCGTCACTGGGGTGGCAGTAGTTGCGATCATCGAGCCAAAGCCTTTCCCAAATGAAGTGAATACGTGCTCGTAGTTGAACGTGATCTGCAGCCGCCGACTGGGTGGTGGAGGGTGCTCGTAGTCCGACTGCTCAGAGCACAGTACCTGTCTGCGCGACCTGGTAAGACTCGCGCGATCATGCATTCTGAGTTCGCGTTTCCGAATTCGTGCAGGCGGATTTAGACGCCCTTTTGGCGCCAAGGCCTATGGTCAAAATTCCACGAACCGGGCAGCCTGAACTCGGTTTTGACGAACAAAAACCACACCATCCAACATGTACGATCTAATGGAAGCTACTATGGCGCTTTTCACAACAACGAAGGGAAATTGCAGTCGCAATTGAAAATATTCCTTGCGAGTGCTGAAAAAGTGAAAAGTATACCCCCGGACACCGGTTTCACACTACTACTAACTGGGTTGGAGTCGGCGCTCGCTCGTCTGGTTGCCCCCTGGAAGAGCCCTAACTTTCAACGGTGGCGCTGCGCCGCTTCCACTAACCCGGCCCCTAGCACGCACGAGATGAGTACGTACGTTTACCAATTACTCCACGTGCTTTTTAGTGCGGACTGCGAGCTGCGATGGTACTGGCTATTGCCATACTTATCGTCTCGTTGCTGAGAACGTATAGCCGATATTTCTCGGGTAACATGGCCTGGAATACCTGAACACCACAGGAATCACGAAGGTAGTACCCGATCTTCAAGCTAGTCTTTTCTTCCTCCGAACCATATGTAAGGCGAGCTGTATGTTTCTGCGACCCTGGGACAATGAACCGAAGAAATAAGTGACGATTTGGACTCGTTACGGCGTGAGGCCAGTAATCAAGGTGTGCGAAGCAAACCTACATAATGCGAGTGCAGAACCTATGGCCAATACTCGAGTACACTATACAAAAGGAACTCCATAGCCGGACGACAGCATGAGTACATAGGATAGCGGAGACTGTGATTCTAGGCTAACGCGCCGTGGTGAATTATACAAGAGCAGAGTAAGATACAGATTTACAACATCGACGCCAGATACCTGCCCAGCCCGAAGAGGCCGTGCAATCACTCGACCTTCGCACTCCCGTGCCTGCTCTCCTTCGGCGGCTTGGACGGTCGCACCGGCTTGCCAGCCTGGCAGTGAAACCTGAAGAGCCCGACGGTATTCCCGAACCCGGCCACGCAGAAGCCAGGCGTGCTCAGGAACGGCGCCACCCGCGTGAAGTGCAGGCGGGGGACCACACCCTTGCGCCGCGGCATGCCCGCAGGCGCAGCGCCTCCGCGCGAACCGCGCCCCTCCTCGGACACCCTTCGTCGGGTAGACGGCGTGTCGTGACTGAGCGCAATGAGCGGCGACGCTTGCAGGCGGCCTTCCGCGGGGTCGAACGTCCACAGCTCCCACCGCTCCAGCGACGCGGGGCTCAGCCCGCTTGCGTGCTCCTGCAAGAGCTGCGTCTTCGGGTCGTGATTGGTGCGCTTCGGCAATGGGGGCCGCGGACGCCGTCGGATGCCGACGATCTTGTCATACCCAACGTCCCAGCTGCCCCGCTCGACAGTCGCGTCTGCGACGCGCACGACGACGAGGCTCTGCCAGATCGACGGTTGCGGATGCGACGCGAGGAAGCTCGACGCGGGCGTGACGTCCTGCGGGCCAATCGGCGCATCGTACTCGTAGTAGTCGGCGTTGTTAAGGAAGAACGTCTCCGAGGTCCGGCGTAGGCCGTCCTTCTCCGACGCTCGCCGCGAATGTACGCCGTGGCCGGAAACTGGGAAGTCGCTGGGCGGCGTTGTGGACACCGACGGCATTCGCGATCGCACCCGAGGGGTGTTCGTACCGGACCCGACGGATGCGCTGCTCCCGCTTCTCGAGCGTAGCGTGAGCAAACTAGAGCGCGGGGCCTGTTGCGGGAGGTTGCGCGGACATGAGCACCGCCGCGTCGGCAGAGTCAGGTAGGCGCGGTAGAACTGGACGATATGCCCGACGGAGAACGTGATAGAAAAATTCTCCATTGGGAGCTCGCCGCAGGTCGTGCACGTTGCAGTATTGACGGGGGAGATCTTCAGGCTGTTGATGTTCCCGAACGGGCCCTCGAGGATGAACAGGCACTCGCGCGTGTCCAGGTCCCATAGTGAGATTGCACCCGCTTGCGTGGCCGCGCCCACGATGATCCTCTTCGCGCCATCGAGCTCGACACTGCATATATGCGCCCTGGACACGAGATCTGCAGGGTTGCCGGCGGAGATAGCGCAGTCGCCCGCGAACACAGGGTTCGCGCGCTCGACGTTGCACAGCTCGAGCACCCCATCGTCGAGGCAAAATCCGACGAGCAAGCGGCCGTCCGCTTGAATCGGGAGGAGCATAGACTTCACGACGGAGGCGGCGCGCGAAGGGGTAACGTAGTGGGGGTTGGTGGCGGACAGAATATCCCACTCGACGACCGCGCCGTTCTCGTATGCCGCGTACAAATGGCACGAAAGCTCTGTCGCGTCCACAGCACGCCTGGACGCAGTGTTGGCCGCGAACTTCAGAGACCCCGTGAAGTAGATGGCGGTGGTGCCAGATGTGAGATGATCGAGATGGAAAAGCGGGAGGGGCTTGATCTGGTCCTTCCCGATGAGGAACACTGCGATCGCCCCAGAGCCAGTTCCGACAGCACAGATGTCCCCGGTATCGTTCACGGCGATCGCAGTGAGTGTCGTCGATGCAGAGGGTGTGCTGCTGGCTCCGAGCAGGAAGTTTGAGGTGTCAACGGCAACGTGTGATTGGGTGTCTGTTCGCCAGATGACGAACTCGTTCTGCAAACCCACCGTCGCGATAACCTTCCCGTCCCGGCTGGTGGCAATGAGATCTACGTCCGTTGCGAAGGCCCGCGGCAAGGTGTTGAAGGATATCGAGTCTTCTACCGATGACGTTTCTTCTGCCGGAGGGGACTCGGGCTCGGCGGCGTGGCGCTGGGCTTCGAGGAGTTCAGCGTCCTTCAGCAAGTACAGTAAAATGCCGTAGAGGACCACAGTGGTCACCGTGATAGGCATTACGAAGAACTTTAGCAGCCACACCACCGGCCGCACAGTCCGAGTCCATAGGCGTGATACACGCGAGAAGCGTGGGCGAGTATGTTTATCAGTGTCAGTCGTGAGATCGTCTAGGAGTTGGTTGTGCTCGCTCTGACCCAAGACGAGGATCGTAGGTGACTCCAAGCGGATGTGAATCAAGGGGTCGCCGGACGGGTTGAGAGTCTGCCAAACACGTTGTGCGGGAGACACGTCATCTGGTGCAGCATTGTGGGTCTTGGATAGTTGCGAGAGCGGGTTGCGTGTAGCATGCGGCTTCGTGGGCTGTTTGCTCCCGACCGCTTGCGGAGAGGTCGCATAATAGAGTGTAGCCGTGATAGCCAGCAACTACAGGAGCGTTACGAAGACACGCATACGGGACGAATTGGGACATACCAGCAATAAACTAATGTTCTTTGCAGGTCTGCCTCGAATCAGGCCCTGCAGAGTGGCCCAAAGCGAGCCAGCCTTGGACTTCGAAGGCTGGGCGGTAGCCTTCCGAGGGTCTGTGATAACCGTTGGGGTCAAGCTGGCGTTCTGACGTAAAAGCTCGTCAAGCTGCGCGATAAAGGGTCAGCTGCAGTCCAGCAGAAGACACAGAATAAACCTTGCCTCCAAGCGCTGGATGTCAATAGACACAACGGTCACAAAGAACGTGTGGACCAGGAACCAGTGCGCCACGAGGACGACGATCGAGAACGCGCAGAACTGTCGGATCGCGCCCGTCGACAGCCCAGCGATGACACCGAGGACTGCATTGTAAGACACCACCTTGAGCGTGTTGGACGTCCCGGCGTGACTCAAACCCTGGGCGATGCGTTCCTTCACAGGCAGAGAGATGGAAGTTCTGACTACCGCATCGACCTACGACAGCCATCAGAAAGTCAGCTTTTCGGGGAGGATTGACGTCACGTACGATACTGCACATGTTCTCGACCCCGATAAACAGGACGATGATGGGGAAGACTTCCCAAGGCACCATCGTGACCCGGAAACCGACCAGGGCACAAACGCTAACGCTCGTGATCGTGCTGACCACGATCTCGACAATGCCGGTGAATGCGAGACCCAGGCGAGAGTGTACCATGTTCAGCCGTCGGAACAAGCGAAAGCAGTAGATGGCGAACGCAGAGTACGCCAAATAGGGGAAGAAGGAGAGGACCGAGAAGCGGCTGCGAAGAGACACATTCTTCTGGTACTGCCGGGATGGTATAAACGCGCCGTCATAGTATTGCAAATATGGAACTTACCTCCAGCGCTATGAGGTGAGGCTCCTGTGCGAGTACGACCAATTCTCCAGCAGAGCCGCCGGCGTCCTCGAGCGCGTGCAACCACTGAAAGCGCCGCTCCTTTCCGAAGCAGTCTGTCTCCGGGAAGAAGTATGTCAGCACGAGGAAAGTTGCGGCGTCAAAGTGGTTCGATGTCGGGTCACGCAGCTCCCGTCCGGCCAGGACCATCTCCGGCGTGATCGGCACCCCAGACACAGACACGTTCGGCGATAGATTGAGCGTATCCAAGATGTTATCGTCGGCCAGCAGAGCCCGTTCGTCCCAATCCCAGAACGCAGAGGGGCTGAGGGAGAAGCAGGAACCTTGTCGGGTACGCAGGCAGGGGATGCCACGCGCCGTCATAGCTTCGGCAATGCGGCGTTCGAGTTGCAGCGTGGCGAGAAGCGTGTTCTTGTCGAGTGCTCCAAACACGTCTTCGGGGGAGACGGCGCCGACCAGTACACGTTCCTCGCGCAATATGCCTTCCATGCCACATCGCGCCCGAGCAACTGAGTCACCTCTCACGCGAAGAGCAGAGTCTCCTTCCCATAGATGCTGCAAATCACGTTGCGCGAAGTAGCTTGAGATGTCGTCTGGAGTCAGGAAGGAATCGAGGACGCGGAGGGTGAAGCCGGAGAAGTACTGGGTCTGAGACGAGTAGTAGATGGCGATGGCGGGGAAGAGGAGGGAGGTGATCACAACGGAAGAGACCAAGATAAGTCGAATTTGGTGGGTTGCGCAGTGACTGAGTGAAGCAGAGGTGAGACGAGGACGCGCAAGAGCAATATGGCATACGCACATGCCGAAGCGGTAGAAGAACCGGGTCCCCAGTAACCGCGCACGCTGCAGTACCGAGCCCCCGAGGGCGTACATCGAGAGGTACGACGTTTGGAAAGGCTGTCCCCCGTTTTCCGCTTGATAAGTGTGTCGTATCTGAAATCCGCCGAAGTAGATGAAACCTAGGAGAAGACGTCGGGGCTCAGCAAGACCACAAGACAATTGGGCGATGATCTCTATACGGCTAGCGTAGAACTCACCGTGTGTGCGACCCCTCTCGAAAGCTCAAACAAGAAAGACTGGCGCGGACAAGAGACGGTGGCGAGCAAGTTGCATAGACGCAAGATGGAGGTAGACCTGAAAGCCTCCGCCTGCGCGCTCTGAGCCCGTTTGGTCCGGAACAAGTAGGCGCCCTGACGAGAACGCCCGCACTCCATCACGCTCGCTCCGCTCTCATGTAGGCGAAATTTCTTGATGTGTATCTGGGAGGTCGTACAGACATGCATATCGAGTCTCGTATATTTAATTCTCTCTATTTGCGTGAAGGTGCCTTTATACGTGGTCCGAATGCGTAAGCCCAGGAACGCCGACGCCGAGAGAAAGGCGCCCGCGAATAACCGCGGTGGCGTGCCGGCATCCGCCGCATGCTATAGACGCCCAATAATACAGCGTCACCTCCGAGTTCGCGCGAGACACCGTACGACTCTAAAATGCACTCCCTCCACCACGTCTCCAAGGCCGCCCTCCGAGCGTCGTCGAGCAGGCGATGTAAGTGCTGCTTGCTCATGGATGTATGCGATTGTCTCTGTTTCTCACGTGAAGGGGCCAGGGATGCAAACGACCGCGGCGCGGAACGCGATCACCAAGTTCGCGATGCCGGCCATGTCGCCCACCATGACGGAGGGCGGCATCGCGTCTTGGAAGAAGAAGGAGGGAGATACGTTTGAGGCGGGTGACGTCCTGCTCGAGATTGTGCGTTCAGAACATTGGTTGGTGCGGAGAAGGGCTAACACTTTCGCTCTGTAGGAGACGGACAAGGCTACCATTGACGTCGAGGCGCAGGACGACGGTGTACTTGGGAAGATCATCGTGCGTATGACTGTGCGATGATATTGCTCGTAATACTCACCGACAGCACAACACAGGCGCAAGACGGGGAGAAGGGAATTCCCGTGGGCAAGACCATTGCCCTGCTTGCGGAGGAAGGAGATGACATCGCCAACCTCGAGGTCCCCGCGGAGGAGTCCGCATCTTCCACACCTCAGCCCCCGTCCAAGCCCTCCCCTTCGCCCCCCGCCTCCACGCCTTCGCCGCCCCCCTCGAAGGAGTCAGCGCCTGCGCCTCCCTCCGAGTTCCACGTCCCCAAGACTTCGCGCCCGCTCTTCCCTTCAGTTCTGCGGCTCATCCAGGAGCACCACATCTCTGGGGACGCCGTCGAGAAGATTACGGGCACAGGTGTTCGCGGAATGCTCACCAAGGGCGACGTCCTGACGCACCTTGGGCTCGCGTCTTCCCCGACGGGCACGTACCGCGAGACCCCCGCGCCCGACGTCAAGACGGACAAGAAGGTCGAGAAGAAGGAAGACGCTGCGCCGCTGGATGGCGCTTCTATCCGCAGACTGATCGTCGGGAGCATGCTCGACGCGTCGACGAAGGCGCGCGCCGCAGCAGGTCAGTTCTTTAATAACCATTCTTCGCGAACGGTCGCTCATCCAGAATTCGACTGTGCAGTGCCGAAGGTAGAGGCCGACTTCGACTCGGTCATTGCGGACTACTTGCCCCCGTCGAAGCCGAAACCCGTCACCCCCGTCCCGGCTTTGACTTCGACGCCCAAAAGTGTCTCCTTCATAGATGGGTTGATCTAATGTATATCAACGACCTGCTAATAGATTACTCTATGCCGCTTAACGCATCACAAGGTTGTTTCACAACGCTTTTTACAGAACATTGCCCTACCTTGCATCAAGTTCGTATGGGCTGCGCGGGGCGTCTCTCCCTCATATGACTCCGCGTTTGGCTCACCAGTGGCCTGCGTGCAAGGCATTGGCTACGTTCAGGGACTCGTTGCGCGTTGACACACACACCCATCCCCGTGCACAACTCTCGAACGCGACGCTTGGTGACAACCCGGCCACCTTCCCACTGGGCCAGAGTATGTCGACGCCACGCATGTGAACGCTGGCCTCGCCACATTCCAGATTGGTACTACTGACCTTGCGCGACAACATGCAATGCGAAACATCTCGATCAGCGTGATAGTATGCAGCAAGAAATACATTGGACAGCTACGGATACAGTATACGACCCCAAGTTACCAAGTAAAAATGTAAGAGGATGCGGCAGCTTGTGATTAGGAGTCTTCGAGGGGTAGACACTACGACTCCGTCAGCCAAGGGTCGCTAGAATACCACAATGCACACTCACCCAGAACTCAATGAATGCCTCGGAGCGACGCCCACCCGGCCTGCGCGGTGCCGGCATCATAAACTGCATACTAAGCAAGCCCTCCTCGTCAATTCGCAGCGACGTTTTTAGCGAGCTTTGAAGTGCGCGCAGCGCTCGCGATATGTGGGAATAGCGGTACCTACACGAGAAACATCAATTATGCGCGAACAGCACGGAAAAGGTCAGGGGCTCACGTAAAAGATATAGGTTGCGCGCATTCGCACGTCTCGAGTACCTCGCGGTCGTTTGGGTAGTCCATTTCCGTGCTCCCAAACTGACCCACCGCGCGTAATCGGAGGCAGGGCGGAGCAGAATTGCGGGCGGCACGTCCCGGTGGGGCAGGTGGATTTCCGATGATGGTGAGTTTGTCAGTGGTGGGGTCTAGTTCCGAGAGCGCGTCGCGAAGCCACGAGGACTACGCGCGGTGTCAGGATTTGAATGAGTGTCCAGTCCTGAACGTACCTTGAGGATGATTTTGAGCACCCTAACGCCTAACAATGAGCATCTAGTCTGCCTCGCGTCCTCGGCGGGTACTCACGTTGCATCAGAGTCGAAGGCTAGGTCAAGCCGCGGCTCAGGGTCCCAGGTCGTGATCTCGCAGGTCGCGGTAGGCCCACCAGACTCTTCCGCCCTGCCTCGGATCGCGTCAGTGGACACACCAATGACAGCAGCGCCCCGTACTCACACGAGCAACGTCAAAGGGTGTCCAGGCCCCGCGTACGACATGCGCATGCCTGTGCCTTTGCCAGGGGCAAACCACTGGTCGAGGCGCGCGTTTCCTCCCGCGTCCCCTGCGTCCGCCCTCCCCTTGCCCTTCCTATCCGCGCGACCGCCGCCGTCCGAGTCCTCCCCGTCCTCGCGTGTTTTCTTCTTCTTCTGTGAAGTGCTGGAGGCACCCGCCGTGCCGAACACGTTCAGGCAGTCCATAAGGGTGCCGAGAGGGATGTCGAACGCCGTTGTGGTCACTTCGTCGTCATCGTCGTCCTGGGACGGCTGTGAGGGCCGTGCGGCATCAGGGTTGTAGACGAACTCGTCGAAGACGTGGCTGAAGACAAAGGCAGTCGCTGCGGGACATAGGGTCAGCGTTACGTTGCGTGAGAGGCGCGCAGAACACGACGGATATAACGCGATCAGCAGGGACCCGTGGGGCGAGACCGGCGGACATTCATAAAGACTCTCATCACCGTGCGCCGCGCAATCGGCGCACAGCTCGCGCGCAGACGCACATGTTATCGTGAAGGGTTCTCCCACAAGCGCGAAGCACCGAAGACGCATTCATCCGCGCTTCGCCCGGTGAGAAACGTACGTTCGCGAACCCATCGGGCGCGTCCGAGCGAAGGTTTCCCTATGACGCCAACGCCCAGGCTGCGCGGCCCAGCCACGTCCCGCCAGAACCTCAGGGCCCCGTGGACGATGTAATACAACCCCGGAATAGCTTTGCACCTGATAGGGCCGGGAACACTTTACGTGTGAGTTTGCGGGGAAGAGATGAAGCAGATCAAGTCCAAAGGCGCATAATGAACGTGGACGGCCGTTTGCACCTGCATGTCACGCTCCAGTCTCCCACACGCTGTCAGACAGAGCTTTGGCCGACGAGTAGGCTCTCTGTAACCTCGCGCGTGTGACGATAGCGCTGCTGGGTCTGATGACTAGAGGCGTACCCCAAACGCGGACCAACAATCGCATAGCGCTGCACGAGTTCTTAGTATGTACAAAGAGGCTCTCGGGCCGTTCGAATGAATGTGCTTCACAGAACGGCCATTTAGCCGGCAGATCCATGACAGAAGGCTGCGATCCCAACCGTCGCGGGAAGTACAAACATCCAGGCAGGAGGTGCTCCATCGCAGGGCTCGTAACGAATAATTAGACCGCATTGTGAGGCAAATTCACAGTGCTGGCCTCCTATAGCGTTGGTGAGAGCCACGAGGACCGCCCAAGCGGCCTCAGCCGTTGGCTGGGTGCTGCTTGTTCGGGCCCGCATTGTCAAGCAATGCCTCGCACACGAGGGGATATAAACGGCCCATACGCTGTTTCTTCACGCGGCGGGTAATGGCGTAGGTTGACCGCAAGGAAATGAATGATTTTGTGAGCACCTGCGCTCAAACAAGCGGAGATCGAACCGAACAAGCTGACCATGTGCATTCAACACCTGGCCACTCACGCATATTTTACGTAGTGCGTCGATGGATGCATACACCTATCTGGAAACGAGTGACCAGTTGCCAGGTCAAACGATTCCAGCAGAAGCGTGAATGACAGGCCACACCTGCATGTGTGCACAGTTCGTGAATACACGTGCAGGCCTAGCCCGGTGACCTGAGTGGCCCACCGAAGCCGCGGGCGGCTTGGAAGAACTCTCAGAAGCAGAAAGGTCCGGTCCTTGGGCATAAACGTCCAGCGGAACATGTTACACAGACGTGTAGCGCAGGACAACATGTTCAAGAAACGAGATCTTCCCTCAGAAGCGATATTGCCGAGAAGATAGCGGCCGAATCTCGAAGCCTCGAGCATGTCTCCCGAAATGAAGCTCTCGCGCGCGGTGCCGCCACGTTGCGTATGCCAGAAGGAGCCATCTGTAGCAATCCGTCGAGGGCGAAGGGAAGGCTCACCAGTGAGACATCTGGCCTCTTCGACGGTTACTGTGAAGCCATCGGCGGTTATAGAGACGCTAGCACGCTGCGAGATCGAGAACGTCGAGGGGGAGATCAGCAACGCG